GCCATTGCTGGGTCATAGGCCATGTTGGTTTTATCAGAAACCATCAAATGGATTCCTACTCCCACCAGCGAACACAGATGCCCCAGTCCCCTCATCCCCACCGGCATCCCGCCGTTCTGAAAGGTGTGGAGTGGTGTCCTTGCGGTTTCTACTTGCGTTTCCATGGCAGCTAATGACATTGGACATCTTTTCATGTGCTTATTTGCCATTCCAGTGTTTTTGTTGATGAAATGTCTATTCATGTCTTTTGCCCATTTTCTAATTGGCTTGTTTGCATTTTTACTATTGGGTTTTGAGAGTTCTTTGCATATTCTGCATATGGTTATGTGGTTTGCAAAAATGTCTCCTGGTCTTTACATTGTCTGTTCATCCTCTTAACAACATCTCCTGTAGAGCAAAAATGTTAAATTTTGGTGAAGTCCCATTTATCAATTTTCCTTTAGTAAACTATGATTTTGGTGACAAGTCTAAAAACTGGCTAGTTCTAGATCTCAAAGATTTTCTCCTGTTTTTCTAAAAAAAATTTACTGTTTTATGTTTTAAGTCTCTGACCCATTATGAATTAATCTTTGTGTGAGATGTGAGGTCACAGTTCTTTTTTTTTTTTTCTGCCTCTGCATGTCCAGTTGCCCCAGCACCGTTTGTTGAAAAGACCATCCTTCCTCCACTGAGCTGCTTTTCCCCTTTGTCCAAAATCAGTCGAGCATATTTCTGTGAGTCTGTTCTCCATTTCCATTGATCTGTGTGTCTATCCCTCTACCAATACCAAAGTCCTTATTACTGTTCTTTATAATTAAGCTTGAACCAGGTAAACTGATTTCTCTCACTTTAGTCTTCTTTTTCAGAATTGTTTTTAACGGTTGTAATCATGGGGGCTGCCGAGTAAACCTCAGGTGTCACAGAGAGCATCTGCCCCAGATCTCCCCTTGCTCCCCATTTCCCACCAAGTTACACACAGATACTCCTGGTCTAAGCCTAACTGACCCTCATGACAAATCTCATTTCCTGACATGATTACTGTGGTCCCCCAGTGCTTTTTGCAGTAGTAATCATGTAAGTGTTAAAAAGATTGAAGGTTAAGCAGCAGTTCTCAGACTTGAGCCACATCAGGGTAACCTGGAGGTTTGCAAATACACAGAGTGCAGGGCCCCAGCCCAGCAGGTCTGGGGAGGGGCCCAAGAATTCACATTTCTGAGAAATTCCCAGGAGCTGCTGGTGCTACTGTTTGATGGTCCAGGGACCACACTGAGAACCACTGATATAAGTAAGTTTCCCCAGGATCGGTGGTTAAAATGGCTGAATATCACACTTTGAATATTTTTCTGTCATCTTCCCTACAACAGTACTATTTACAATCCCTTGGTCTGAGATTTCTTACATGCTGCAGAAGTCTGGAGACTGGACTTCCCTTCTGCAAAGGAGCATTCTGCACACCAGAGGGATTTTGCCAGCACAACACAGACTTCAGGAGGCTCCTTTATAAAAGTTATGTATGACAAACCCACAACCAACGTAATACTCAACAGTGAAAAGCTGAAAGACTTCCTGCAAAAATCTGCAACAAGGCAAGGGTGCCCACTCTCACTACTTCTGTTCAACATAGTATTGGAAGTCCTAGCCATAGCACTCAGACAAGAAAAAGAAATAAAAGATATCCATACTGGAAGGGAAGAGGTAAAATTGTCATTATATGCAAATGACATGACACTATGTAGAAGACCCTAAAGGTGCCACACAAAAACTACTAGAACTGATAAATGAATTCATCAAAGTAGCAGGATACAAGATTAACAAACAGAAATCTGTTGCATTTCTTCACACTAACAGTGAAATATTAGAAAGGGAAAGTAAAAAATGAACAATCTCTTTTAAAATCGCATTCCCCCTCCCAAAAAAAAATACGTAGGAATAAACCTGATCAGGGAGGTGGAAGACTTATATGCTGAGAACTATAAAACATTGATAAAGGAAATTAAAGATTATTTAAAGAAATGGAAAGATATCCCATGCTCTTGGATTAGAAGAATTAATATTGTTAAAATGGCCATACTACCCAAAGCAATCTACAGATTAATTGTCCCTACCAAATTATCTGTGACATTTTTCACAGAACTAGAACAAATAATCCTAAAATTTATATGGAACCATAAAAGATGCAGAATTACCAAAGCAATCCGGAGGAAAAAGAACAAAGCTGGGGGCATAACTCTCAGACTTCAGATAATACCACAAAGCTACAGTAATCAAAACATCATGGTATTGGCACAAAAACAGACATATGGATCAATGGAACAGAATAGAGAGCCCAGAAATAAACCCACACACCTATAGTCAATTAATCTCAACAAAAGAGGCAAGAATATACAATGGAGAAAAGACAGTGTCTCCAGCTGGTGATGTTGGGAAAGTGGGGCAGCTGCATGTAAATCAGTGAAGTTAGAACACACCCTCACACCATTCACAAAAATAAACTCAGAATGGCTTAAAGACTTACATATAAGACATGACACCATAAAACTCCTAGAAGAGAAAATAGGCAAAACATTCTCTGACAGAAACCATAGCAGTGTTTTCTTAGTCTCCCAAGGCAGTAGAAACAAAAGCAAGAATAAACAGATGGGACCTAATCAAACTCATACACGCTTTTGCACAGCAAAGGAAACCACAAACACAACGGAAAGACAACCTGTGAAGTAGGAGAAGATATTTACAAACAATGCGACTTGATTTCCAAAACACACAAACAGCTCATACAAGTCAGTAACAAAAAAACAAACAAGCCAATCCAAAAACGGGCAGAAGACTTAAATAGACATTTCTCCAAAGAAGACATATGGAGGGCCAACAGGCACATGAAAAGATGCTCAACGTCGCTAATTATTAGAGAAATGCAAATCAAAACTACAATGAGGTACCACCTCACACCAGTCAGAATGGCCGTGATTAAAAAGTGTACAAATAACAGATGCTGGAGAGGGTGTGGAGAAAAGGGAACACTCTTGCACTGTTGGTGGGAATGTAAATTGGTACAGCCACTATGGAGAACAGTATGGAGCTTCCTTCAAAAACTAAAAATAGAGCTACCATATGAGCCAGCAATCCCGCCCCTGGACATATATCCAGAGAAAACTCTAATTTGAAAAGATACACGCACCCCAGTGTCCACAGCAGAACTATTTACAGTAGCCAAGACATGGAAGCCTTGAGAGGCCAGACCAGAGGCAGGCACAGGGGAGGCGGCCACACTGGGCCACGGGGAAGGCCAGAACGGTTCCGTTTGTCCGCACCCTCCGATGCTGCCAGCTTTGTAAGCAGTTTGAGGGCTCCCTTAAGAGCCCACTGTTCTTGTACAACTTCCTTGACCATGAGCTGGTGTTGGTGGGTAGAGTGGGTTCCTGCTGATGGGCGGACGGCTCTCAAGCTCCTGGGGGCACCTCAGCAGCTCATGAAAGCGGGTTTTCACGTGTTTCCTCTGCCTCTTCGTCCCTCTTCTCCTTTTGCTCCGTGACCAGCCATTGTCCCTGTTCCAGACTGGCCCCTGACCCCACCTGTGGAGCCCATCAACCAGGAAACACCAAGTTAAACGTGCTGAGGCCACATGAGGCATCTTGTAATGTAAAGGGGTGTCCCCAGGAACAGAAAAAACTGTGCTGTGTTTGGGGAAAAAAATATGCCCTGGTTGTTGATCCTTGGCATTTTAGGGGCAAATTGGAAACGCCATCTCTCTGCCTTGTTTCCTTATAACTAATTCACTCTTCTGTGGCGGACCTTTCAGCTAATCATGTGTTCAGCAAATCAGTTTTCATTTGGACTTTGCGTTTGTCTGCTATTCATTCTTCACAAGCTCCCGGGGTGGAAATGGGGCAGAGGGCGTGTGGAATCGGCATTCATGGAGCGGCCGGCCTGTGTACTTCCCCAGAAAGGTACCTAGTGATACACTCGGGCTTGGCTGGGAGTGGGATGCAGGAAGGATGTGTTGAGTTAGCTTAATTGGGGATGGAGGGGTGGGAGGGAAGAGGAACGATTATTGAGTGGCACATACGGGGTGTGTCTCACTTTATGCTCCCCCCAAAACTACATGAGGTGGGCATTTTCATTTCCATTTCATAGATCAGGAATCTGAGGCCCCATCTGAACATGTTCAGATCGCCCACGAATATGCAGGGGGCCTGAGCACAGCTGCCCGCTATGGAGGTGAACCTCAAGGTTGAATGGGAGATAGAAGTGACCAGTTGTGATGAAGGTTTTGTGGAGAGCAGGCGAGCTCTCCTCCATGATGTCAGGCGGTGCTTAGTCCCCCCGAGAGAAATTTGGTGTCACGCACAGGTTAGCAAGTGGAAGAAAATGGAGGTCGCGTGTGATGTGATTGCCCCGGAGGAAGTCATAGTCCCATGAGGGAGGAAAAAATAGAAGTGGCAGTGAGAAAACGGGCTTTTTAAAATAGTGGTGTATTTATTTTACAACTGGAAATGGATGGTTGATATGAAAGATGAAAGCCTGAGTTCACGAAGACATCCTAATTCAGAGCCATTCACATCAATGGCTTATGAAAAAGCATCATTCTCGGTTAGAAAACATTTCAAGGCCCCCACCCGAACCCATGATAAAGGGGACCCTGCTGCCTGTTGCCTTTAAAGCACAAAGTCAGGGACTTCCCTGGCGGTCCAGTGGTTAGGACTCCACGCTTCCACCGCCAGGGGCCCGGGTTCAATCTCTGGTCGGGGAACTAAGATCCCGCAAGCCACGTGGCAGGACCAATAAAATAAAATAAAAAATTTCTTAAAAAGCACAAAGTAAGCCAGTCCCTACACAGGCTCGAGGGGGCCATTAGCAGGGACTGTCTTTAAAAAACGCCAATGGAAAAGAATCTGAAAAAGAATGTAACTGAATCACTTTGCGGTACAGCAGAAATTAACACAACGCTGTAAATCAACTGTACTTCAATTTTTAAAATGCCTTTGGCCAAAGCTGATCACTAACGCGGCGCTCTGTCCTGACAGGTGGCGGTGATGGCTGAAGATGGGAACGAGGAGATCATGTTCATCTGTAAGTGGCCCGTGGCCCATCCTCACCATGGAAGGCAAAGCCACGTCCACGCTTGGTTTCTGTAGTAGAGAAGAGCTCTCTCCTTTAGACGTGGTCTTACTTGTCTTAAGAACCGCGATTTATTACACGAGAAACGTGCTGCTGGGCACCGTTTTAAAAGGAGCATCTGTCTGAGAACTCCCGGCAAAGGGCACTCGGCAGGGGTGGCAGTTGACTCAGATAAGTAACCCCAGGTTTTAGAAAGAGGCTCACAACATGTTAGATTTATGATAAACAGGTTAAGTTGGTGAATTTTCATTTACGCTCGTTCCCTGGGGACACCCCTGTCCTCCGTCCCCATAGAGGTGGCTTGGCCTACTTCGCAGCATGTCGTGGAGCAGGGTTTCCTCCCGGGGGCGCACGTCCTGCCTTGCGCTCTTTTTGCATTCGTGGGGAGCACTGTCGCTTACCCCCAGGCCTCGCGATGCTCTGTGGGCGTCTCCCTCCCCACTCAGCGCCCCCTCTGACGCTGGGATGTTTGTTTGCAGGGTGTGAAGACTGCAGCCAGTACCACGACTCTGAATGTCCCGAGCTGGGCCCAGTGGTCATGGTCAAAGACTCCTTTGTGTTAAGCAGGGCAAGGTAAGTGACCATCTTGAGCTGCTTTTATCGTCCTGCCTGTCAGACAGGGTTTTCGGCATGTCACCTGCTGCAAGAGCCTGGTGGCCTGGGTGTCTACGAAAGGGGGGGGGGGCGGGGAACAGCAAAAGAAGAAGTGGGAGAGACTTCCGTGAGAAGGGCTGTCCTCACGTTTGAGGCCGTCCGAAATCTCCGTCCCACCGTGAGCTGAGTCTCCTGCCGCCAGGATGAGCCGAGGCTTGTTGCAGACACTTCAGGGTCAATGTCTTTTATCTAGTTCCTGGTTCAGCTGATGGGCTGGGTCGGTTTATGCGTTGACCGCCATGGCCGAGCTTGTTCAGCCTCCCCTGTGGTCCGAGCCCAGGCCTGCCGTCTAACAGGTGCACACTGTGGGCAAGGGGCGGGGATGCGGGCAGCCAGCTTCTGGACGAGCACCTAGATCTGGTGAGGGGGCTCCGTGGCTCTGCCAGTGCACGTTTCCCTGGGGGGGAGGGGCACAGCCCCACCTACCACGTAGTAGCTGTTTGAACCCGGACGAGACGTGCTCCTGTCTGCACCTCAGTTGCCTCATCTGTGAAGTGGAGAGAATAACTAGCCCTTGGAGAGTTGCTGTGATCGTTACACCTGATTTAGGGCCCGGCATGTAGTGGCACTAAAATTGTCATCTAATCAACGCAGTTCCTAGAAGCCACCCAGCTGGTTTTCCCAGCCTCTTTATTTCCTTGTCTTACTGTTACTTCCCTGCACAAAGCGGAGATTACTAATTTCGCCTAAAGTACAGATCTGATGAGCTCTTTTCCAAAACCTTCAGTGGTTGCCTGTCGCCCACAAAGTTCCCGTGGGAGCCATCAGTCCCTCTATGATAGGTTCCTTGTCTCAGCCCCGCTGCTCGCTCCTGGGAGGGGTGTGTGCTCCAGGCGCCCTGGGGGTCCGCCCCACTCCCGACGTGGGCCAGGCTGGCCCTGGCCTTCACGCAGGGCCCCAGCCCACATGCCTTCCCCCTGGCACGCGTGCCCCATCCTTGATATTCTGGGTTTACTTAGAAAGGCCACATCCTCGATGAAACCAGCCCAGTGCAGCCTGGCTGGAAATGCTTTTCTGGTCTTTGGAATGCGGTGGCACTTCTTGTCTTCCCCGTGGTACTTTACACGTGGCGCCTCTTTGTGGTCTCTCTGTGGTCCTCCTCTCTCTGTTGGCCGATTGAAGCCCACACTTAGGATGTGTGTGTGTGTGTGTGTGTGTGTGTGTGTGTGCGTGTGTGAGCGCACACACACGCATCGGCTCTGTCTCCTGGGCGGGGATTTTAAACACATCCTTGAGTCAATGCCCCTCTATTGCCCGCTCTGGGGGCCAGTGAGAGCGACCTTTTCCATCACCCTAACACTCTTGTCCCCTGGTGTGGGTGGCACCTCGGTCAGTGGATGCCCGGGGCCGAGAGTCTCTTGCTTTGTTCTATTTCTAGGTCGTCCCTTCCCTCCAACCTGGAGATCAGACGCCTGGAAGATGGAGCTGAGGGGGTGTTTGCTGTGACCCAGCTCGTCAAGCGCACACAGTTTGGCCCATTTGAGTCAAGGAGAGTCGCCAAATGGGAGAAGGAGTCTGCGTTTCCATTGAAGGTAAAAGCTGGGCCCAGTGGGGGAGGCAGAACCCCTGCTTTGTGACCTTCCTCGTGCAGATGGGGCAATGCCCGCTGAGCTCCAGTGATTCATAAATGTCTTAGAAACAGCTCTAGGTATTATAGTTCTGCTGAATTTCCAAGACAATGTTCAGATTTTTTTTTAGTTTTTATATCACAAGAGCATCAGAGTTAAGTTAGTATTTTGCAAGACATTAAAGAGAGTCTATTTAAAACATCTGCAAGAGTAGACCCCCAGCGCAGGCTTTAGGAGGGGGGGCTTTCTGTGGATTTTTGCAGGAGTGCGTTAGTGTTTTTGCAGGGGTGCTTTAGTATTTTCACACTGGTGCAGAGCGTAGGATACTTTGCAAGGCTCTTTCGAAAGGAGGTGTCTTGTCGAGGCCTTGATGAGAGGCCAGTGCAAAATTTGGCAGCTCTGAAAAGCACATCAGGCTGGAAAATGGCAGCTTTTATATGACACTGAGAAAAACAAAATGGAAGGAAATCGGTGGGAGGGCTTGGATCACTTAAAGTGAGACCCACGGAGGCGCCGTGAGGCGAGGGACGTGGGTGTCAGTCACAGCTCTGTCCCCGCACCCAGTACGCCCCCAGCCTCAGCCAGCCTTCAAAAACACCTGTAAATAAACAGAGAGGAACAGGTGCTGGTTGGGCAATGGTTACCCCGAGAGGTGAGCTCTCCTGGAGACCCTTAGCAGAGACGCACGTGTTTCAGGACAGAGGTGATCTAGGTGACCGCGGAGTTCTGCCAGTCCTTGGAGAACTGAGTTTACAAGGCAGATTTCAGCACAGCAGAGCGGAAGGAAAGGCACTTGATTTGTTTCCAAAGAAAGGAAAGAAAGAGACGTTATTTTACGTGAAGGAGTGAGGTAAAGAGGCCTGGGGCTGATGCACGTAATCGCTATGGGCCCGAGGTCGGCCAAGGCCCCTTTGAAAAAGTCCTTTGTGCCTGTTATGGTTTCTTTCAGCGACTCAGATTCTGAAGGTCTGTGTCTCGTATTGAGTTGTTTCCAGCACAGGCTCAGCGTTGGTTATCTGGGTGCTGGGGGCAGCTTTATGCCCGTGGAGGGAGGGCAAGGGAGCAGTTCCCACACCGGCTCAGGGTCATTAGGCACCTGGTGGACCCCTCTGCCCCCTCCTCTTGCTTCCGAGGGCTCCATCCTCAAAGGGGGCCTCTAGCTCTTAGCAGTGGGGAGCCCCTACAGGAAAAGCCCAGGAGAGGGGGGAGATTTCTTCCTACAACGAGGAAGCAATGATTGCATCAGAAAATGGCGGACAGGAACCCCCTATTCCATGTGGTTACTTTGAACTTCAAAATATTCAAGCTTCTCCCCCTGGGCCCTGCTTGCATTTAATCCATAAAGCAGTGGTGCTGCTTTGCAGCTGAGGGCACAGCTTATAAAGATTGAGGAACTTTGCTAAAGTCACTGACCATACTTGCAACAGAGCCGGGAAAAGAACTTGGGTGTCCTGATGCCCAGATGGGCCATGAGTAGAACTCAGCTGTCCTGATGACACCTGGGCCAGGTATAGAGTTCAGGTGTCCCGATGACGTCTGGAACTGGAGTAGAGCTCAGGTGTCCTGATTCCCACCTGGGCCATGCCTAGAATTGAGGTGTCCTGATGACACACCTGGGCCGGGAGTAGAACCCAAGAAGCGCCTTCGTGCCCACTTGAAAACTGATTAGAACTTGAGTGTCCAGGTTCTACACCTGGACCACAAGTAGACCTCAGATGTCCTAGTTCCCAGCCGGGCCACGCATAGAGCTCAGGTCTCCTGATAACTCCTGGCCTAGGAGCAGAACTCAGGTTTCCCCGTGTAGCAGAATGCACGCGTCCGGGTGCCCACCTGGACCACAGGTGGAAATTAGGCGTCCCAGTTCCCACCTGAGCCATGCGGAGAACTAGGGTCTCCCGGTGACACCTGACCTTTTGCTGTGTCTCCTGCTTCCCTTCTGCTTGTGATCAGCCTGACCTGTTCAGGGGTCTACCTCTGCCCTCCCACCACTGTAAATGCCTAAATAGGTCTGTATGGAGCACGGTTTGGCCTCTGATGTGGTGCCGTCCGGACTGGTCACTCAGCAGCCCCCCTTCTCTCTCACACACACACACACACGCTGACACGCATACCGGTGGATAACCAGCCCCCGCCCCGGCCCCTCGGCGGGCCGCGCTCACCCCCAGGTGTTCCAGAAGGACGGGCACCCCGTGTGCTTCGACACCTCCAATGAGGATGACTGCAACTGGATGATGCTGGTGCGGCCGGCAGCGGAGCCCGGGCACCAGAACCTGACGGCCTTCCAGCACGGCAGTGACGTGTACTTCACCACCTCGCGTGACATCCCCCCGGGCACCGAGCTGCGCGTGTGGTACGCGGCCTTCTACGCCAAGAGGATGGACAAGCCCATGCTGAGGCAGGCCTGCCCTGGGCTCCACGGTACGTGGGGGCCCCTGTCCCCAGCGCGCCTGCCGTCCTGCCGCCCCGCGGGGACCCACGGCCCCTTGGCCGCACGCAGCAGCCCGGTGTTAGTGAGAAGAGTCGGGCCGAGTCGGGCCGGGAAGGCCCGCAGGCGTGGGGAGCATTGAGGGCTCGGTCCTGACACCACGTGGTGGGTCTGTAGGTCTGCTGGTTGAATACCTGGGCCGAGAAACCGTTAGAAGAGCTTGCCCCAAGCCAGGCGCTTGGTGGCGGGCAGCTCTGCCCCCAGCTCTGTGGCTTCACACGCGTCACTCACCCACCTGGTCCCTGGGGGTCAGGTTGTGGACCCTGGGTTTGGGCAGAGGGAACGGAGCACAGAGAGGTTAAGGAAGCTTCCCTGAATCACAGTGCAAAGAGTGACGGAATCAGGGTTTGAACCCGATTCTGGCTCCAGTGCTGGTGCTAGCCGCCTTCCAGCAGCCTCTTCCCGGAGGTCGGGGTGTGCGTGTGCATGCGCGTGTGTATACGCATGTGTGTGCCTGTGTAGCATGTGTCGTCAGAGAAGGGCCTAGTGGAGTGACGTGCGATTCACCCACATCCTTTTGGAAAAGCAAATCAGAATGCGTGTCCTGCTGACCTGGGGTCGGGGGTATCACCTCGTGAAGGGGGCCGATGAATTTAAATCTTTTCTACCCACGCTGTGGATCCTCGGGGTGTTCATCCTCACCACCTGACCTTGAGGGACCACGTGAAGTGGCTCACACGTGGCACTACGACCTGGGAGAGCAGGGCTTCCGTACGGCTCCACCTGGTCCTGCCCGGGGCAGACATGCTTGTTGCTGCCACGAAGATTACTTCCTGTGGCAGGGAGAAGCTGACACTGACTTTCCTTCCGACCCCCGAACAACAGGGTTCTGACAAGGAGATGATCCCTCTTATTATGAGCACCGTGGGCTACAGACAGCTCCGTACAGGCTTGGGAGGTTCTGGTCTGTCCCACGTGTGCATCGTGGCGGAAGTTTGGGAGCTGCTTCCGGTGGGCTCACGTGGCAGTGTGAGAGAGGGAGGGAGGTATCCGTGAGGCATCCCAGACGAAGCACCACAAACCGGGGCTAAAACAAAAGAAATATGTTGTCTCACAGTCTGGAAGCCTGGAGTCCAAGATGCGGGTTTCCCAGCTCTGGTGTTGCCGATAACCCTTGGCGATCCTGGATCGTAGCTGCAGCACCCCATCCCTGCCTAGGTCTCTCCCTGTGTCTCTGGGTTCTCTCCTTATGAGGACACCAGTCACTGGATTTAGGACCACCCTCAACCAGTCTGACCCATCTTATCTTGGTTACCTCTGCAAAGACCCTACCCAAAGGTTCCAGGCGGACGTGAATTTCCAGGACCCCTCTTCAGTCACTGCAGGCTGGCTGGGTGATGGTGGCCCGTGGAGCCTCTGGGGCGTGCTCCGGGAGTGACGGATGGCTGCACGCGGGGTCTGGTGGCAGGAGAGGGTTTGCATCTTCACAGGGATATTTGCAGAGGGAGACTGGGCTTGATGGCCCTTTCTTTATTTTGATAGTAAAGGGGGCAGAAAGAATTTGGAGAGACCCTGGGTTTTTCACCAGGCTGCTCTAGCCCCTAGGATTTGCTAAAACCGGGTACCTGGCCCTGCCCCTGCTCCTGCCCCTGGGAGGCACCTGCAGTGGCACTCCACGGGGTCAGGAGTCATTTTCAAGCACCGAGGTGAGGCCACCTCCCTGGGTGCTGTCCAGGGTCACCAGGATCTTGCCGGCCTGGCTTTCTCATGTCGTGGATTCCTTACCCTGTGCGTGTCCCGGGACCAGCCCAGACTGCACGTCAGGGTTTGGCTTGTAGAGTCTGACCTTGTCAGTTGTGTCCTGGAGGTGGCATGCATGCCCCTCATGGCTCTCAAGGTCAAAGTCAACACAGAGGTCACCTCCCCTTATCAGAGTTCCAGTTGTTGTTGGCTTTTTGCCTCCGGAGGGCTCTTGAATCTGGGGCTGCGTTGGAGAGCATAGATCTTCATGAAATGAGCCCAGGACCGTGTTGTCCAATACCTGCCTCCGGATTCCGTTCTAACCGTTCTCAAGCAGGACACTAGGGTAGCTGTGGCCCCTCCTCTGGGCTTCTGAGAATGTAGGGCGCTGTTCATAACCAGGCAAGCAGCGTGGCCACCCTAAACTAGCTTCTGAATTGGGGAAATAAATAAGCAACTTAGGTACTCAAAAAGTTTAGAAATAGCTTTTATGATTTTTTTCACTTTCTGTTTGGGGACAAAGGGCAAGCACACATTTCTTGGCAACGTGATGAAAGTTCCTGACTACTGTTAACTAGTTGGTTAGTTGGGTTCCTTGTTTCTTTTCTTCCTGGGAGAGCCCCCTGCTCAGTGACCACTTGACCCCGGCAGTGCTGCTGGCGCCAGTACCATTGCTGCACCTAGGGACGGGGCAGCCGCCCTAGGACCCCCGCGTTGTCTCCTACCACCCTGGCCTCCTGCCCAGCCCCTTCCCCAAGCCCCTCTCCCCTCCCCTGACGTCCCCTCCTGGCACAGAGAGGCTTCTGGAACCCTGCTCCAGCCCCACCCATCCGGGTGCCCAGGGCCCAGGGCGGTGTCAGGTGTGTGTTTTGAGCACCTCCCCCATCGGAAGCCGTGCGTTGGGAGTCCTGGGTTACTGAGTGCCCACTTCTCAGTAACGGGAGCAGATGAGGCCTGTGAAGAGAGGCCTGGAAACCCGTGGAAAGCTGGTTTTCTGCATGATTCTGATTATCCAGATCTGACAGGTAGGGAGATGGCTTCACCTCTGCCCCTCCTGAGATGAGGCCGTTCCCCATCCCGCCTCTGGTCTGGACGCACCCGTGAGATCACACGGGGCCTTTGTGGCCAGCGCTGCACCTTTATCCCGATGGGAGTGGGTCAGAGCAAGGTGAAGGGGCCCTAGGAACCACCAGTTTGTTCCAGAAGGGTCCTGAGGGGGCCCGTGGGCAAGGAGCAGTCTGCCTCTACATTATTTATCAACTTTCTAGGTGAGCATCGGAACTGCTAAGACTCATTCGTTCTCTCTTTTGAATTTGCTTCAGACATCTTTGTCATAGATGTCTGCCATAGCGATCGGCCCGTTTGTAGACTGGCAGAGCAGACTTTTAAATACCGAGGGAAGTGGGTCTCCTTCTACCTGGCACGCTCCTTTCAAAAATTAATCTGTTTGTTTTTTTTTTCTGGTAGTGGATTTACTTTTCTAATCACATGTTCTCCTTGAGCTCACATTAAGGCTGGTTTTTCTTCTTTACACACACCTGGGCCTGTTGGCAGATGAAGGAGGAGGCCCAGAAGCCCAGTGGTCTCAGCGGGCGGGTGCGTGGGGTTCAGGGTCGGCTGTCAGCATCAGAGTTTCAAAATCACCTTTCTAGTGAAAAAAATGAAATATAAGTACATTTCATAACATTTGGGGAACTTTGAAATCACATATAACATCACCATCTTAACGACTCCTAGCATTTTTGATTAGCATTTTCTAATAGTTTTAAAAAACCAGCGCTGTGGGCGTGTAGTTAACAAACAATAAAATAGCGATTTTAGGTGGACAGTTCAGAGTTTGGACAAATGTCTACAGTTGTGTGAGCTCCACCACAATCAAGATGTAGAACGTTCTCAGCACCCCAGACGATTCCCTTGTACAGCTCTGTACTCCATCCCCTGGCGGCCAGCATCTACCCTCCGTCCCTGTAGCTCTGCCATTTCTTTTCCGTCGTTTAAAAAGCCATGCACTTCTGCGTGGTTGAGGTCTTGCTGTACATGCTGATGTACCACGTGATTGATCTTCATTACACGTTTTGCCGACCGTCCTGCTGTGGGCCTTCTCCCTGTCTCTCCACTGCCAGCTACTGTTTCATTTTGCGTAGACACTTCTTTTTTGTTGGGCGTGTGAGTGGTTGGGATGAAGAATTGCCTTCTGGTTGCTGGCTAATTTTTTCTTAAGTCTTTTTTTTTGCGCTACGCGCGCCTCTCACTGCTGCGGCCTCTCCTGTTGCGGAGCACAGGCTCCGGACGCGCAGGCTCAGCGGCCATGGCTCACGGGCCCAGCCGCTCCGCGGCATGTGGGATCTTCCCGGACCAGGGCACGAACCCGCGTCCCCTGCATCGGCAGGCGGACTCTCAACCACTGCGCCACCAGGGAAGCCCAAGTCTTATCTTTTAAAGATAATTTTTGGAAAATAGAGTCCTGCCCTCGGTGGGAGGACAGCAGTCATGACTGGTTCTTCTAGTTAGTCCCGTTGACCTAGCGTTCAGGACACCAGGCTGAAGAGATGGGTTTCCTGCCGAAGGTCAGGTCACAGGTCAGGCCTATGTGAATTCCATTCCTGGGCAGGGACCTCGTGGTGGAGAGATAGCAGCTCACTCAGATGAAAAGAAACTGCCTTTATTCCCGAGTACCCACTGCCAGCTACCCCCTGCTCAGCCTCCTTCTCTGAAACTCTCCTGTGCAAGAGTGCTTTGCCCTCTTTAGAACCGTGTGTGTTTGGGAAGGTGAGTGAGATGCAGGAATTTGGCCCTGATCTCCTCCTGATTCTCTTCTGTGGATTCCCAGAGATGGGCGCAGAGGATGGCGGAGGCTGGGCCGCAGGGCACACCCCACAACGGCGCCCTGCTTCTGGGCTGTGCACTCTCCACTCTTTCTGCTCTGGCTTTGGTATAACCAAAAATTTCATACAGCAGTTACATTTCTCTCTTCTTGTTATCTCACGGAGACTCAGAAAATGCCTGCAAACGGTTGTAGCAGTGGTCTCCGTCTGTTTCTTCCATCCTTTGCAACCTTATCGCTGTGTTTTTGGGGTTTTTTTTTGCGGTACATGGGCCTCTCACTGTTGCGGCCTCTCCCGTTGTGGAGCACAGGCTCCGGACGCGCAGGCTCAGCGGCCATGGCTCTCAGGCCCAGCCGCTCCGCGGCATGTGGGATCCTCCCGGACCGGGGCACGAACCCGTGTCCCCTGCATCGGCAGGTGGACTCTCAACCACTGTGCCACCAGGGAAGCCCTTATTGCTGTTTTTTGACACAGACAGAGGTGTGCTTTTTCCTGGTTCTGAACGCGTGTGCAGTCGCTCTTCTGGATGGTTTTGCTTTGCGAGTGGCCCCGGAGGGTTGCGATGGGTCGTGCGTGTCAACACAAGCTGCACAGAGATGGGAGTGGAGGTGGTGGTGAGGGCTGGTGGCCCCCGTCCAGCCCTGACAGGCTGCCACGTGGGGTTTAGCGAATCAGCTTCCTGGGCCAGGACATCACGAACATACATTCACTTAGAATGTCCCTGTTACCAAGTCAGCTCGCACTGCTCACCGCACAAGCAGCCCGTAAATCGAGAGACCAGCTGGGGCAAGAAATAGCGACTTTATTGGAAAGCCAGCAGACCGAGGAGATGGTGGACTCGTGTCCCAAAGAACCAGCTGAGTTAGAATTCAGGCTGCTTTCAGACTAAAAGGGGAGGGAATGAAATCAGGCATTTCCTGGTTCCGGTCAGGGGATGTTAATTCTTCCTTCCTGCAACCATTCACAGGTGAGCCTGGTCAGGATGTTTGCTGTGAGCCAAACAAAGGTGTTTTAGTTTTACTGTCTTTACCTGGGAGGCAGGGTTCCCAGTGAGGGGCCATTAGGTATAATTTAAGCTTATAGGCAACATCCCTTTAGTGATTAACTTGTAACAGAATACAAAGGTTCTTCTCCATTACATCCCCAACTTTGAGATCTCACAAGAGCATCGGTAGTTTTTTTTTGAAAAGGACCCTGAGCAACCAGGGTCTCTCTCTGTGTTCCATGGACCCTGGTCATCTCCCCCCGCCCCCAGACTCCCACGGGGGTGCCGGGAGGGCTAGGGGCACTGCCTCCGCAGTAAGCACCTACCCCAGGCAGCTGTTTCAACCTAAATTCAATAAAAGTGAAGGTCCAGTTCCTCAGGGGCACTCAGCGCATGTGGCTGCCCCCCTGGCCGGCAGTTACAGAACATTTCTGTCACTGAAGAAAGCTCTGCTGGCCAGCGCTGGGCAGGAGCCGTGGCCACACCAGGGCGCATGGCCTGGCTGTTTGGGGTTCCGCCCTTTCTTGTCACATGAGCCAGTGAGAGGTTGGGGAATTCGATGTGGGCCGTAGCATGCATTTTTTCTTTTCTTGAAGTTGTATGGGGGGGTGGTGTCTGGTCCCACCAGACTGGCTTCTGGGAGGAGGCCACGTTTCCGTGACTGGTGACAGCCCTGCGTCAGGCCCTGGTTCCAGTGCTCTGTGCCCGGCTTCCTCATCTGTGAAATGGGGACATTCACAGGCACGAGCGAGTCCGTGTAGTTAAAACGCCAAGAACGGCGCCTGGAGCATTGGAGCTGCTCCCAAGCGGTGACAGTTGTTACCGCTGTCATTGTCGCCTCCTACGAGGGCAGGTGTGCCCTGCACTGGGCTGGGCTGCACAGAGAGAGCAGCTGCTGGACCACCTCCCCCTCTTGTCCTTTGAAGCTGCAGGCACCCCAGAGAGCAGCACGCCAGTGGAGGCGGAACCCAGCCGGTGGGTGTGCAAGGTGTGTTCGGCCGCCTTCCTTGAGCTACAGCTGCTGAACGGTAAGGGGCCAGACGCCGGCGAGTCCCGCGCTGCGCTCACCCTGACGTGCTCTGTCACTTCCACGCCATCCCTCTGGGATGGTGGCAGAACACACGGGAGTTCCCTGGCTTTGCGGGAGCAGCTCAGCTCCCAGCCTGTGTCTTCCAGGCCTCCTCCCGGGATCTGTGCTTTGGCTTGAAGTTCTCTGCGTGTCTGGCAGCGAGGGATCTTGTTTGCTTTCTCTGAATCTCAGCAGAGCATTAGTTTGGTGTGGGGGGCAGTCTCTCCTTTTGTAGCCTTCCCAGGCATTTGCAGCCGGGTGGCCTCATCGTTAGCTTGTTCTGCTCCGTGGCCAAACTTCCAAACCCTTCCCGTGACACGCAGCACGTAACGTTGTTTGCTTTAAAACTTTCCTTCCCTCATCCCTCACCCCTCTCCTTCCCTGGCCCCTCGAGGGCACTTGCGCTGCACAGTGGCCCTGAGCGTGGAACAAGTGGGGAGACAGCCGCCACTTCACACGGAGGCCTGTGTGAGCCAGTCGAGGTTGTCGAGGGGAAGAATCGCTCCTTGGCCGAGTGTGCAGGCGGGCGCCAGTGGTCACTGGAGGGCGCTGGTCCCCATCTGTCTCGTGGGTCACTCCTCCGTCCTCTTGCTGGTGCCCCGCCCTCCAGACAGCCTGAGCCCAGCTCACCTTCATTCAGGGAGCATGGCCATCTCTGTCTGTTTCCTGTGTGTGGCCCAGTTATCTTTTCTTGGGAGGTCTTTGAGGTTTCTTCCGTTGAAAATAAAGGTTTTTGGCCTTCATGCAGTGTTTTGAAAGACAATTTTGTTCATTATGAATTGAATGTTTATCACTATTCCTCTTCAAAGGCTATGTTTTAAAATAACTGTATTATATATTCATCGTAGAAAAATTAGAAAGCTTAAATGAGCTTTGAGAAGAATATAAAAGTTGCCTGTAAGGTCACCGTAGAGAGACCCACGTTACCTTTTTGCTGTGTTCTTCCACAGTTTCTCTTTGCTCATATACGCGTACCCATGCTTTTAGTTTTTACAAAACTGTACGTGATTTTACAAAACTGCCCGGCTTCTATCGCCTGACTGACTTTTTAAAATGGTGGTTGTGTTTGGTGCCGTGGAAATGCTGTCATTTTCAAAGCAGAAGAAATAACGTTTATTTGCCTCTGCAGAGGGCACCCTGTTAGCAAATAAAATTGAAAACAAAATGGAGGTTGGGAGTGGACGCCCTGCCTTATGCCTTTGCTCCCCTGTCCTGCAGAGCACCTGTTGGGCCATTTGGAACAATCCAAGAGCGTCCCCCCAGCCGGCCAGCAGGATTCGGCTGCAGAGAAGGAAGCAGACGTTCCCCGGGGGGAGCCTCCCGCAGTTCCCAAGAGTGTCAGTGCCGCCAAAGAGCAGAAGAAAAAGCCTCGAAGGGGGAGAAAACCCAAAGCATCGAAACCAGAGCAGCCTCTAGTTATCGTGGAAGGCGAGGAGCCAGCAGGTGAGGGGGAGGAGCCCGCAGGTGAGGGGGAGGGGCCCGCAGGTGAGGGGGAGGGGCCCGCAGGTGAGGCTGGTCCCGGTCCTGGGGTAGCAGTGAAGGGAATGGGGAGGGACCTGAGGCCATGTTGCCTCCATGCCGGGTAGCAAAACTCGGCACAGAGCCCTTCTCTTTCGCTGAAGCAGCTCTTCACGCCCGGCGACTCGCAGTGCGGTTGGCAGCTGTGCCGGCTGTGACCTTTGACAAGCGCGTCCACCTGTGTAACCCGATATCAGGACAGAGAGCATGTCCGTTCCCCCCAGCCACTTCCCGGCTTGTCTCCCGGCATCTCCCGCACGGCGTGTAGGGGAGGCTCGTCCACAGTCGGGTCCCCGCTGCCTCTTCTCCTTTGCTGCCGAGCCGTGTTGGTCCATCATGTGGATGCCCCACCGTCTGCTCCCGTGTCCCCTGTGGACGGTCGTGCAGCTGGCTTCCAGGCTGTGGCTAAAGCCGTTCTCTGACTGTACAGTAGCCTCAGTTGAGCTTGGAGGGACCTTGGGCCCTCATTCTCGGGCGTGGGATTCCCAAAATGCCGTGTCCCCTCGGCCCTCACGTGGCCTCTGCCAGGAGTGCCTGGTGCCGGAGGATTCCTGGCGGGTCTCGCACGTAAGGACCAGACATGATGCTCAGACAGTAGTGCGTCCCCTCACTACCTTCCTTACTGATCGCTGGGCAGTTTTTCTTTTCGCCGTCTGCCGTAGCCCAGGATTTCTTTTGCGAGAGTGAGAAGAAATTTTTATCCTTTCTTGGAATTAAAGAGAATTCAGAGGAGCAGCCCTCACATAATGTTCTCAGGAGAACTGGTTTAAACTTCCCCTGGACAGCTTCCCTACTTCTCTATAAACAAGTAGAGGAGAAGGAGGTGAAAAGCTTATTAAATGATTATTTCACTAATTCTAAGTTGCATTAGGAAGACGTCATAGTAGGTGAAGTGGCTAAATCTTTTCATGTAACCTTCCCATATTTCACTTGTCCAGAGGTTCAGGCCTGGGTCCCTATCACTGTGGTTATTTGATATTTGACTCTTGTACAAAATGATGATCCGCTTTTGAACATACTCAAGATGGCTTGTGTGATTACAAAAATTAATATTTCCAAGTCTCTGTCAGGACAGAATTAGCTAGGTTATAAGGTCCCAGTGTGTGTCAAAGTGTTTCAGTTTTAGGTGGAACGAAAGGGATTGAGATAGTGTCATGACTTAGCCACAGATTGTAACTCCAGTTCTGAGTTAAGAATAATATCTTGCTTTTCTAAATCTGCAGGTAAATGTGTGGATTCTAAACTATCGCTAGTTTCTTGTTGTTTTTTTTTCCCCGTGTCAATCTTGTGATCTGTGTCTGCAACGTTGGCCTGGCTGTGGCCCCTCGGGCCTGTCATCTTGGTTCGGTTGCGTTCCATCCCCGGCCCTGGTGATGACACGGCTTGTCCTGTCCCCTCCACACAGAGCAAGTGGCAGAGATCATGAGCGAGGTCGAGCCTGTGGCTGCATCGCCGGACGAACGGATCATGGAGCTGGTTCTGGGGAAGCTGGCCGCCACCCCCAGCGACGCGAGCTCAGTGCCAAAGTATGTCCCAGAGCAGCGCGTGGGCCCGGCTTCACAGGCAAAGGCGCCGTGGCGGCTAATCCATTCCAGAGGGAAGGCCGGATGAGAGGGGATGGTTTACTTCTTGTAGGAAACGTATGTGCTTGGGAAGCAGCAGGAACTCTGGAGCCCAGGGGGTTAATAGCGCATCCACTGTGAAATAGCTTAAAATTTTAAGAACTATTTTTTACTCTAGTAAAATACACATAGTACACAATTTACCATCTTAATCGTTTTTAAGTGTGCGATCCGGTGGTTTTAAATACATTCACCTTGCAGTGCAGCCTTCCACCCATCTCTGGAACTTTTTCATCTTCCCCAAACTGAAGCTCCATACTTACGAAAAACACTGACTCCCTATCAGCCCCTCCCCAGCCCCTGGCACCCACCATTCCGCCTCCTGTCTCTGTGAAGAGCTCAGAGGAGGTGCCTGTGTCTCCAGGGGCCTCATATAAGTGTTCTCACGGTGTTTGTCTTTTTGTGATGATAGGCTTATTTCTCTGAACGTAACGCCCTCGAGGTCCATCTGTGTTGTAGCAGGTGTCGGAATGTCCTTCCACTTTAAGGCAGAATAATTCCATCATGTGGGATGGACCACATTTTGTTTATTCATTCTTCCATCAAGGACACTTGTGTTGCTTCTGCCTTGGCTGCTGTGAACAAATGCTGCTACGATAGGACAGGTTGTATTTAAATTTCTGTAAATTTAACACCTTGCTCTGTGTGTTTCCACTTTTTATGAACGAGGAAAATGTTTGTATTTAAGTTATTATTCTTAGGCAGTTTTTTGCCCTGGAGTTGAATAAGCTGGTGGCAGTATTTTTTTCCAGCCCTTTTCCCACGGGGCCAAAATGCGCCTGGTCCTGTAGGGTTCGGGAAGCTGTGGAAAAACTGAAAACAGAGCAGAGCAATGTCAGAAATGGTGAACCTGACCTACTTATTTATACTCCATCTTATTGCCCAGAGGGTTTCGGTAACTTACCGTCAGAAACACATTTCATAGGGAGAAGAAGTTTGAAAAATCAGGTTCAGGGAAATATGAAACAGGGTAGAGGCAAGTGAAAAAAAAGAGAATAGTTATAGTTACTCCGGTCGGCACACAAACTGAGCTCGAGGCTTCCCGGTGGCCGGAGTTAACGCCCAGGGAGCCGAGTGGCCGGTACAGGAGAAGCTAACTGGTGCCCCTGTACGTTCGGCGTGTCTGTCCCTTCCAGATGCCCCAAAGCTGCAGGGGTGCGCCTGAGCACGGCCCCCCACTCTCGTGTCCGGCTAGGAGGATTTGCCAGGGCCTCTCTCCAAGGTGACTGTGACCTTGAACTCTTTTCTCCGACCACCCGGTCTCCCACCGGTCTCACCGGCTGGTGTGTCTAACCCAGCAGGTTCCCGCACCATCAGAGCGGCAGCATCACCCTCAAGCGGAGCCTGATTCTCTCGAGCCGCCACGGCATCCGGCGGAAGCTGGTGCGGCAGCTGGGGGAGCACCGGCGGGTCTACCAGTGCGGCATCTGCAGCAAGGTCTTCCAGAACAGCAGCAACCTCAGCAGGCACGTGCGCTCCCACGGTGAGTCCCCGCGACGCCGGCGCCGGGCGGCGCGTCCCGGGCGGGCGCGTGCTCTCAGGGCACCTGGAGCAGTGGCGCGCGCGGCTTGTCACTGCTCGTCCCTTAGGCGACAAGCTGTTTAAATGCGAGGAGTGTACCAAGCTGTTCAGCCGCAAGGAGAGCCTGAAGCAGCACGTCTCTTACAAGCACAGCAGGAACGAGGTGGGTGAAGGACCACTGCTGTCTAGTGACGGAGGAGAGCAGACCGTTGGCGTTGATGAAGGAGTCACGGGGTGGGGGCAGCGGGAGCTGGAGCGGCCCAGGTGGGTCCGGGCCTGGCTGGGCGCCACCAGGGCTCGGGCCGAGCGAGAGGCCCGCGTGGGCAGCGAGCTCACCCGGACGCGGGGCTCCCTTTCAGGGCAGGGGCACGGCCAGACAGGGTTCACGCTCTACGCTGGGCAGGAGGGTAGCGGGGGCATGGGCCCGTTGCTGGAGCAGCTCCCTGAGGGGGCGCGTCCCAGCTGCCCCCGCTTCCCGCCCCCCTCCCACCAGGTCGACAGCGAGTACAGGTACCGGTGCGGCACCTGCGAGAAGACCTTCCGCATCCAGAGCGCGCTGGAGTTTCACAACTGCCGGACAGGTGAGGGGCCCCGCCCGGCGCTGAGGCGCGGGTACCTGGCGGGGTGGGGACCAGGTGTTCCGGCAGAGGGTGAAGGTGGATTTAACAGGTATCCTCACCTGTAACGTTCCCCTCCGTTCGGGGTGCTTCAAGCAGCTGTTACTTACTCTCAAGAGACCGAAACTTTCCCTTTAAAAGGGGATTTATTTCACATCCTATCATTCCTCCAAAGCAGCCACATATGGCCCACAGTTGAGCCCGTGGTGAAGCAGGGGGGTTTCATCGTCGCCGAGGATGGTGAGTGGTACGGTTGCTCTGGGACCCGGTGAGAAGTCCTTGAAGAGGTGGGGTCGCGGCTGGAGGGGTGGGCTTCCGCCTCGCTCTCGGCAGGAGCTTCCTCAGCCATCCGCCCCCCTCCCTCCGAGGACCCCGCCTGGGTCCAGGTGAGGGCCTTGCCGCTCCCTCGCACACACCGGCCTCCGCTGAGCCTGCCGCTGTCCCCAGTCCCCACTCGTGACACGGACCCTCGTCTGCTTGCGTGCAGCTGAAGCCGGCGTGCTTGGGCCCGCCGGTGGCCGGGACGGGTCTCAGGCCCCGTGTCTGGCCGAGCGCGCAGCTGGCTAGTGTACGCGATGTGTAAATCCCCGTGGACGGCCAGGGGACGGTTGCGCAGGAGCCCAGCCGGCAGGGGAGGCCCGTGTCCTGTCCCCGCGGCTCTTTGCCCTGTGCCCCGTGGGGGAAGGCGGGCGGCTGCGTTCCCACCCAGGGAGGATGGGGTTGGCGGAGGGTCGCTGTTGTCTTTTCGGCCCCCTCTTCTAGGCATCGTCGCACGCCTGGGGGGTGGATACCAGTGGCAGTCGGCTTAGAGACCTGCCAGGTTAACCTTTGATTCCGAACCCCCTTCCTGTTGAGCCCTCTGTGTGTGTCACCGGTCACTCTGTATCTCTGTGCTGGTTCTCGTTAGGGTGCCGGGGGGCCGGCCCGCATCTCAGGGCACCCTTACCCCGTCACCTAAATTGCCACTGCCCCTCCCTGCCGGTGGCCAGCACCCGCTCCTGCAGCCTCTGCAGTGTCCCTTCATTTGGTTCATTTGCTTGTTCCGCTTTGAGGGCTCCTGTTGGAAACTGCGGCTGGTTTCCTCCGTCCACAGTGCCTCGCTCCCAGGGCGGGGCTTTTCAGAGTGGCAGGTGAGTCTTGTCTCACCTGAGCTCCAGCTGCCCTGAGCGTCAGTCACGGCATGAAGTGGCCTTGGAAGCTTCCGGGTGCACTTCCAGGTGCTACACCACCTGCATTCCGCAGCCCAGGTGTTCCCAAAACCTGGGGGAAATCCACCAATCTTTTGATGCCATATCAGTCAGAGGACCCTCGAGCTGTGCTTATCGCCGGGCAGGATGGCGCTCCACGAGGCCACGCTCGGTTCTGCACGAGCTCAGTGGGTGGGCATCAGAGCGGAGGGTGATGCCCCTGTCCCGGCCCGGGTGTTTGCTGAGGCCCGCTGGAGGCTGAGGCAGAGAAGCTCTCTTCTTTTTATCTTTATTTCTCTGGACACAAATGAAACAGAAGGTACCAAGTCAAAGCAGCAGTTGCTACGTGTCAGCAAAAAGTTCTGTTAAACCAGACGTTTGTCTGTCTTCGTTATGTAGAAGTTAACAGAGCAGCAATGAATTGAAATGCAGTTTTTCCACAATTTTAAAGGTCAGAAGTTTTGGATGGAAGACAAAGGATAAACCTGGGAGCTGAGGTCATTTGTGTAATATATTATTTGCAGGCTGTTGTACTTTCTTATAATAGTGTTCACGTTAGGAGAATGTGTCTTCTGTAGACCATGAAGTCAGGGATTTGTGTGAGGTTTGAAATGATGGGTCTGCTGGGCTTTTTCTCAGGCTTTCACTCAGCAGGGCCTGTCCTGGGTGTGAGGTGGCCCTCGTCTGCCCTCGACCTTCCTGAGGGAGCTGGAGGAGAGCAGAGGCTCATGTCCAGGCCCTCAGGCAAGACAGGGTCTCCCCGGAAATCCCCTGTCCCGCCTCCGGGTGACCCTGTGCCCCCTCCTTCACCGGAGCCCACGTGTTGGGCTGCACCCCCAGGCCTGCAAGCCTTGGAGCTGCCCAACCTCGAGACCAAAGAAAGAGCCCAGAGGCAGCGACAGAGACATCAATGGTTTATTGGACGGGGGAACCTTACACGTCCGAAGCCGCACCCCGTGTGCAGAGGGCAGGCAGCACATGTCAGGCAGAGATCTTCCCCGCTCAGGGGAGAAGGAGGCTGCCGTTTATAGGGGCAACTGACATCAGGTTGGCTCATCTGTTACCAGGGAAACCAGCGGCTGGGGCACACCCCTCCCATCCCCTCAGGTCAAGGACCACCAGCAGGGCAGGTGTCTCCCTTTAAGGAACTAGCAGAAAGGCAGAGCCTTCTGGCCTGAGGGTTAGGACAGCCACCAGCTGGGGCAGGGGGCGAGCAGTACAGGGGAGCGTGTAGAGGTGAGGCGGGCACTGGCTGGGCAGGGGGCAGACAGAGAGCGGGGCACAGCCATGCTGAGAGGCCTGACCATCCACCACATAACAGGTGTTTGTTCTCAGTTGCTGCATTTTGTTAAAACATGAGCGTAGGCCTCGAGGGCAGCAGGGATTATGGGGGGGAGGGGAGGGGGAGGGGCGAGAAGGTTGTCGTCAAGCACCTGCCTGGATTCTTGAACTGGTGACATGTGGACGCCATGGCAGGAAAAGCCACCGTGGTGACAGCCTGGCCCGGACAGCTGCTCCAGCTCTGCTGTCACCCGGCGAAGGCCACACCGGAGCTGTTGGGGATGGTTAGAGGTGGGTCCTCTCCACACGCTGGGAGGGACTCGACCCGTTAGAGGGAAGAAGCGGAAGTCCAAGGGCCGCGCTGCACCTTCCACGGCTGTCGGGTTCCTGGGCTTGTGGGCCACCTGCCCAGGAGGGAGGCTTACCTGTGTGGTTTAGCAGGCCCAGAGTGGGCGGGGTCTCCAGTGATCCAATGGAACAGCCCTGTAAGGCGTGGCCCTTCCCAGAGCAGGATGGCAGACGCCCTCATCTCTGGTGGTCTCATTCCTAAGGATCCATGCCGAGGAAATCTAGTAGGAAGAGCATCATTACATTACCTACAATATCAAAAATGATGAACTAGGGCTTCCCTGGTGGCGCAGTCTTTGAGAGTTCGCCTGCCGATGCAGGGGACACGGGTTCGTGCCCTGGTCCGGGAAGATCCCACATGCCGCGGAGCGGCTGGGCCCGTGAGCCATGGCCGCTGAGCCTGCGCGTCCGGAGCCTGTGCTCCGCAACGGGAGAGCCCACAGCAGTGAGAGGCCCGCGTACCGCAAAAAAAAAAAAAGATGAAGTAAATTGCCATGTATGAACTGGGTGGAAAATTATGTAACCGCTAAAATCAGCATGGAAACGTCTGCATGATAAGCACAGGTACCGCGCACACACAAACGCGTGTACAGGGGAGTGTGGATACCCCGGGGCCTCCACCTGGGGCTGCACATCGGGGTCCACCTGGCAGAAGTTAAACTGCGAGGTCTGAGTCCCCGGGGACGCTGGGCAGAGTCTGGAGCCGGTTTGGTTGGAACAGCTGCCTGGGGGATGCTGCCCAACGTACAGGGCACAGGACAGCCTTCCGCAGCGATCCGGCCAGAGTGTCTGCAGCGCCCAGGCTGCGATTCCCGGATGTGGGAGTCCGCTGTGCAGCAGAGTGAGGACCGCAGTCAGTCAGTGTAGAGAGCGAAACTTGGCCTCCGGCCTCCGGGATTTGCGCATTCAGCAAACATTTGCTGACTACGGGAAGTGGTCAGTGGGCTGTAGCCAAAGGCCCAGAAATGAGAGTGACATGGTGTGACCTCAGGCCCTCGCTCTGGAGGGGGACGCACACTGTCATGCCCACCCGCTCAGGTGACACGGGACGGTGTTCCCGGTGCTGCAGGACGGCCGTGGGCAGTGAGGGCTGACTTTCGGGGCTGGCGTAGGTGACGGACCCCTGGGCAGTTAACGTGTCCTGGCAGGAGCAGGGTGGGCGTGGCAGGGTTGAGGGCAGAGGACAAGTCTGAGTGGAGAGCGCTAACCAAGGCCCCGAGACCCCCTAAACCAGGGGCAGAGGCCGGGTGGCTGGGGCCAAGGCAGACAGCTGGAGAGGTGCCAGCGCGGGGTAGATGCCCTGATGGCCCCTGTGCTTGTGCTCATGGGGGGCAGACCCCCCGGGCCTGGGGGGAGGGGACAGGACACCCCAGGGTCTGCCTGGGGCACCTGGAGGGAGAGAGCAGGGTGGGGCCTGTCTGAGGCCCTGGTGGGGCAGTCTGGCCACCTTTGGGGAGGGACTGGGGAGGGACACCGGGCTGTGGGTATCTCTGAAGGCTTCAGTGTGGGGAGGGGGTGTTTGCTGGGGGTGGGTGCACGTCTCCCAAAGGGGACCTAGGGACCAGACGGTTTTGTTTACAGGTGGGAGACATTGGGGATGTCTTTGTGCGATGGGGGAGGAGCCTGTGGAGGGCACGTGGGAGGGGAGGGGCAGGTGGTAGGTGGACTTCGGAGGAGCGGTGGGGCGGGGCAGGAGGCCGCTCACCTGATGCAGCGGGAAGCAGGGGCCGGCGCCGCGGTCGGGTTGGCTGAGGGGGTGAGGGCCAAGGACAGCTGTGGTCCAGCCGCTTTCCTTGCCACGAATCCCCCGATGCTGTGGGAGACTTGTGGCGCCAGGGAGGAAGGAGGTGAGCTACCTGTTTGCTCTGCACGCTGCTCAGGCCTGGCGTGGCAGGGGGGCGTCGTCGGCTCAGGCGGCGCAGTTTCCCGGCCCCTCCTGTGCCTGTTGCCGGTCCCACGGCCACGATGCTGAGCCTGCCGTCGGTGTCCCGCACCTGAAAGTTGCTGTGTGTTTCCCCACTTCCTCAACAGATGATAAGACGTTCCAGTGTGAGATGTGTTTCAGATTCTTCTCCACCAACAGCAACCTTTCCAAGCACAAGAAGAAGCACGGGGACAAGAAGTTTGCCTGTGAAGTCTGCAACAAAATGTTCTACCGCAAGGACGTCATGCTGGACCACCAGAGGAGGCACCTGGAAGGTGAATGCGCCTGCCGGGGAGGGGGCGGGGCTCACGCTGGCCGCGTCTCTGTGGGCGCCTGTTGGCGAGGTACCACCTGATGGGAATCGGCTCAGGCATCCAGAGGTCCTGTTGGGGGGTTAGAGCATCACGTGCGAGTGGGAACGGTTGGAAATGCCCCAAACGCTCCACAGCGGGGAAAGTTAGGAAAACCAGACTCTTTGTAGGACTGAATTTTATCAGTCACCAAAAACTTTTTGTTTTCAGAGAGCTTAATGTTGTGAGAAAATGCTTTCCGTACGAAAGTAGGAGGAAAGCAGTGTATGAAATGTCACATGGGGTGTGGTGCGCTCTCAGCCGTGTGCGTGGGACGGAACGTTTCGGGCGGAGGCTGTTTGGGGCCGTGAGTGATTCTGCCCTTGTTCCTCTGTTTCCCCAGGGACCCCCGATGACCCTCGCCATTCGTGGTGGGCTTGGGGTGCCTGGGGGCTGCCTGTCGTGTGGTGGGTTTACGAGAGGCCAGTGCAGGAGAAAGATGGACTTCAGCGGGGTCGCTAATGGGGGGGAAGGTGGGAGGCAGCACAGTGAGGGATGAGGTGGGGTTGCGGGCGACCCCACAGGGCAGACCCTGAGCTGTGCAGGGGAAGGCAGGGGCCCCGAGAGAAGAGAGAGACCGGGACCTTGGGCCACAGGTGTGTCCTGAGCACCTACCCTACCTGGGAGGCTTTCTCAAAGACCCTCTGCTCAGACAGACCCTCTTTCAAAATAGCATTTTAGTTTTAGTGATCTTGGACATTTTAGTTTTTTACCCTAAAACCCACTGCCCTCTTGCTGACTGACCAGCCTCTGTAAGAAGCACTCACTGACCAGAGCACCTTGTTATAAAAGTTTGAAAAAAAATCATTTTACAAAGAATTGTAAATGAAGTACGTGCTTGTCGGGGGAAAAGGGTCAGAAAACGAAGTTGTACGCGAAGTCTGACCATTGCACGCAGCTGTGCATGTACACGTGTCTTCATGGCTTTTAAAACAAGCCTGGAGTCAGGTCACGTCCTGCATCACCTTTGCACTCTGCCTTTTTACCTGGCCCTTCTGCACGTGGGCTCATAAGCTCCACCCCCTTCCATCTGTGATCCGGTGCTGCACTTAGCGCCTGGTGTCCACTTAGTGACCGGGTGGCCTTGGTCATGCTGCTGGGCCTCAGTGTCCTCACCTGTGTTGTGGGGATGGCCATTGTGCCGACCTGCTGGGCTGGTTGAACCGGACCCTGATGATAAAGCCCCAGGCGGGCCCATGAGTGCCGCCATTACTGCTGGAAGTCAGGTGTTTCCCGATCGACAGATACGTGGGTTGCATTTTACAACTTTACCTTACGACATTTTACAGCTGACGCACTCAGATCATTTTCCTTGGGAATGAGCGAATGCTGTGTGGCCGTTCCATGGTTTTTCCCTCTATACTGAAGCGTAATCCACGCCCAGTACAGACCTGTGTGCTTTACGCCGCTGGGAGCTTTTTGGGGAGTCACGTACTTGTCTCCAGGCCAGCGTGCTGGCCGTTCTTGAGCCCAGCTGTGCAGGAATGTCCCAGAAGGACGGGTCAGTGGTGTGGAGAGAGACCGTGAGAAGGAACTTCTCTCTTTCTTTTATTCAGCGATTCCCTGTTTCCTGAGAACTTCTAAGTCTGTTTCGATCCCAATTATGATCACTTTTGCCTTAAAACCATAGAAATTTATTATTTTCTGATTTTTTACCTTGATCCTTATTGGGCTGATTTAATTTGAAGGATGAATATTAGTATCTTTTTAATAAAAATGCCCTCCTACTTACAGACACCTCTGAGAACCCCACCTTTCCCTTGAGCTTTAGATTGAGCACAGATACCTCCCTTACCAGTAGCTCATTCTGACTTCTCTGCGTGGAAAGCTCAAGACACTTGCTGCCCTTGGTTTTCCAAGTTTCAGGTGCAGCCCGGGTTCCGGAGTCGGTGGTGCGGGCCGCCTGCCCTCCCTCCCGGGTCGCGTGTTGGAGCGCCGGTGCGTCATGGACGAGTGACCCCGCTCGCTCCTTTGCCCCACTCGTGGGCAGCCCTGTCCTCCATCAGATGGAGGTGACCCTGGCTGATGCGGGAAGGTCTCGTGTGTACTGACTCTCTCGGCCGGGGGGCGGGGCGTTTCAGGAGTGCGGCGGGTGAAGAGGGAAGACGCGGAGGCCGGCGGTGCCGAGAACCTGGTGCGCTACAGGAAGGAGCCTTCGGGGTGCCCGGTGTGCGGCAAGGTAACGCAGGCTGGGGCCGGGGCCCGGACACAGCTCACCTTTTCTAATGGGAAGGCTCAGAGCTCTATGCACTGCGTGTGGCGGGGGCGGGGGAATGTTAAGATCGAGTGGGTACTTGGTGTCCCGAGCCGCGGCGTCCCCTCACTTGGTGCTCTGGTCATCTCTCTTGCTGTGGAGGAAGGAGCTCAGCCTTGTCTCCCTTCGGCCACGATTTTCCACTAGTGCCACCCCGGCACGAACACTCCACCTCCAGCACCCCGAGCCACGTGCCTCTGGCGGAGACGGGATGTCCGGGTTTATTTTCCTGGTCAGCACTGGTCCCCCCTGCAGCATTTCCCGGTGAGAGACTGACGGAGCCACAGCCGTGTGCTCTGTGCCCAGTCCACGGATGCCGGTGCCCCGAGCGAGCAGATCTGTCCGGGGCGTCGGGCTGGCCGTCAGAGGGCGTTGACTCCTCAGCAGGCCCTAAACGTCCGGAGTACACTCCCCATCCGAGCAGCCCCGGGCCACGTCAGCCCTGCACAGGGAACCCTGTCCGGGCGCTGCCATCCAGGCCATGTCAGCTAACCACGTGAGATGGCGGTGGTCTTTGCGCACAAACGCCTGGTCTCGGCTGGGGTGCGGTTGCTCATTCCCTTAGGCTCACCTCCCGTGACTCGGCTCTCCCAGGTTCTCAGCCACGCGCAGCCCACGTGAGCCACGTGGTCCTGGAGTGACAGCAGCCGCCAGAAGTGAAGGCCCGGTGGACGGCCAGCTGTGACTCGGCCCAGCCAGCTGGCACGTGGCAGCATTGCCAGATCTTTCGACCTTTTCAAGAGAACACGGAAACCCGTGTTTTTATGGGAAATTTCCTGATTTTTTTCAAACCACAAAGCAACAGGTCCGCAGGGTAGCGTGGCCTGTGGGCTGCACGCTGGGGCTCTGACTTAGTGTGGGTTTGGGGGCTGGAGGGGGGAGTGGAGCTGGGGTAATGGAACACACGCCTGAGCCCGGGTGGCCAGGCCGGGCTGCCACGGGCAGGGGTGGGTGGAGGCTGCCCCATGTTCACGTGTCCCGCTCATTCTGCCCACTGACCACCGGCTCTGAGGAGTGGTGGCACCGTGTCCCTTCCATGTCCTTGGGAGATGGTGTACATGAAACCAGCCAGTCATGTGACTGACATTCAGACACCTCTTATTCTGTGAAATGTTCACTGAACACTCACGGAGGGGCCAGGCAGGAGGTGAAAGGTCTCTCAGTGGCACATGGCTCGGGGTGCTGGAGATGGAGTGTTCGTGCCAGGGTGGCACTAGTGGAAAATTGTGGCCGATGGGAGACAAGGCTGAGCTCCTTCCTCCACAGCAAGAGAGCAGATGACCAGAGCCTGAATGTCTCTACAACTGAATTCTTCATTGCTTCCAAGTATCCCCTGTCTCCAGCCCCGTCTGCCTGGAGAACACAGGTGCCGGGGGATACCTGCAACCTCCGTCCCTCCCTGGAGGCCCATCTTCCTGCCCTGCTGACTCCTTTTCCCGCCCAGCCTCCCTGGGCTGTGGTCTCAGGGCCGTTGGCCGCAAGTCACCTGCAGATCTTGAAAAGCAGTGTCCGTGAAGGCATTAGCCTCTGTTCCCCGTGAACAGTGTCCCTTTCGTTCATGGCGTGTTCTCTTCCTGAGACCGTGCGTGGTCGGGGTGAGCTCTAAGGAGGCCTGCTCTCCAGGTCACTCGGCCACTGGGGCGAAGGCCGTTCTCTCAGATCAGTGCGGGCCCTGGGGGTCATCTCTGCTGCTGGTTTTGTCCACTGAGCTCTGCTGGTGGACGCACAGCTGCACCTGGCCTGTGGGCGGCAGAGGGGACACCCAGTGGATGAGTACTAGGTGAATGACCAAGTCTCCACAGTCATCACTTTAGACAGGAAGCGCTGAGAAACTGGGGGAGGCGGTGTGAATTGTGCATGAAATACGGAACACCCACTGAGGACATACCTCTTTTTTGACATCCTCTTTCGGAAAACTGCAGCTGTTTCTGTGACAGTCTTCTTGGTAGGCCCATCCTAGTGAAATATTTAAGTGAGCTGAATAAAATTGAGCAGAATACTGTGGATGGTGAAGACTAGACAACGGTTAATTCTGTATTATAATGTGAGCACCAATTTAAACAATCAAACGGTCCTGATTCTAGCACCACGTGATTGTGTCTCCAACACTGAGGAGTTGCTGCAGCTCAAACCCTGGGGAGAAGCTGCGTTTTTGTGCCCGGTTACGGTTTCCCCGCGGGCCGGGCACGCACGGTCCCAGGCGTCTCCGAGCCGGCTCTCCCCCCCACAGGTGTTCTCCTGCAGGAGCAACATGAACAAACACCTGCTGACGCACGGCGACAAGAAGTACACCTGTGAGATCTGCGGGCGCAGGTTCTTCCGCGTGGACGTGCTCCGGGATCACATCCACGTCCACTTCAAGGTGGGCTAGTGTTCCCCTTCCCGGGCTGCACGGGGGGGCGGGGCCAGCCCTCATGGTCGGCGTGGCCGCCTTGCCGCTCTTCCGGTGAGCTCTCTGGAGTCTTCTTGCCGTGTCTCCTGAAGCCCACCTGCAGGGCTCGCGTTAAAACCCCTCCATGCTAGGCACCTCCCAGGAGAAGAATGAGGGTCGAGACGGGGGCGCGGGGGGGGTGGTGGGGGGGGGGGCATTTGCTTCCCTCCCTGCCCTTGAGGAACGTGAGACGGGAGCTTGTGGGTGTGGTGGGGAGAGGAGTGGTTGGGCGGGGGAAGAAGTGCCGATCCAGGGAAAAGGAGGGAGGGGTCGGTGGTGACGAGGCCCACATGAGGACGCAGAGCACGCCCTCCAGACGCATCCCAGCTCGGTGACTGTTCCCAGCAGCTCCAGCCCTGGCGTTCACAGTCACCTGGACGCGAGCAAAGCCAGATGGCACCACCGTCAGGGGGTGGGGCGTCCCAGGTGACACGAGGGCACGGTTTCTGCATCCGGCCTACAAATCCCCGGTTAAAGCTCGCGCCAAGCGTGTCAGAAATTGGACGCGGTGACTGTTTGCCAGGACATCGCGCTGATGGATGACCAGCAGAGGGAGGAGTTTATCGGCAAGATCGGGATCTCCTCGGAAGAAAACGATGGCACTTCCGACGAGAGCGCAGACTCGGAGCCTCACAAGTACAGCTGCAAAAGGTGTCAGGTAACTGGACCTGCAGCCTTCCGGCCCTGGGGCTGCAGAGCTGCCGGCCCGCAGGGGCTCTGGCATGGGGGGGCACCTCACAGATGTCCCGGAAGGCGCCCCAGGTCTCGTCGCATCTCAGGGATGTTGGACACGGGTCTCACCGCCATCAGGGGACCACTGTCTCAGAATCAGTGTGGTCCACACGTGCCTGTGTGGCTGACCGGTGGGGATCCGTGTCCGCGAAGGTGGGCGCAGGCCAGGGCTCCTCTCTCCTCCGCCTGCCCCCCACACGACAGGGACCCTTGCTTAGAGGCTGGGGGCGCGGTGAGTTTTCAGCAGTTTTGCTGTACGGCTTCACTGCTCAGGGAGCTGTGGTTCACCGCTGCCGAGCAGGTCCCTGCGTTCTCCCTGGGCGTTCGCACCCGTGGGCTCGGCACAGCACCTGACCGTGTACCTGTCAGGGCCTTCAGGCTTGGGGGAGAGATGGGGTCAGGTGGGCGGAGAGGAGGGGCGTTCTGGAAGCTGGCTGGGGTGGTGGGGGGCGTGGGACCTGCCGGCAGGTCCAGGAGGACCGGAGTCTGCTTCCTGTGCTCCCCCCACTCCGTGATTTTGACCACCGCTGGCCCTGCTCTCGGGAGCCCCCGTCTCCTGCTGGGAAGCGGGCTCCCTCCGGCGTCCGGGACGCCTGGGTGGCGGCGGCGCAGCGTTGGCCGCGGGGCTCCGGGCTGCGTGCGCACGAGAGCAGTGTGCGTGTCTGCAGCTCACCTTCGGCCGCGGGAAGGAGTACCTGAAGCACATCATGGAGGTGCACAAGGAGAAGGGCTACGGCTGCAGCACTTGCCATCGGCGCTTCGCCCTGAAGGCCACCTACCACGCGCACATGGTCATCCACCGCGAGAACCTGCCTGACCCCAACGTGCAGAAGTGAGGCCCGCCCGGGCAGGGGCTCCCTGGTCGAAGGTGGTGCGGAGGGAGGGCTGGCTTCCTTGCAGAGAGGCAGGTGCCCAAATCGGCCGTCTGGAGCGTAGAGCAAGTTCTCCCTGCTTCGGGGGCCCTGGGCGGGTCTGGGGGAGGCACTGGCCTCGCTCCTTCGTGGGTCATCAGGCCTCTCCCAGGTTGCACGCCTTCCCAGACCCCCGGCACAGTGGGCCGCGTTGCAGGCCCTGCCTCCATACGACCAGAGCCCCTTTGCCCCGCAGTAATTAGGTTTCGTGAATGTCAGTCCCACTTCTGGCTACAGCCCGTAATCAGCGCTGTGTGTCCAAGCAAGTCAGGCAACAGCCCTGCTTAGAGCCGGGTAGTCTGCTCGGGCTGCCGACTGGGCAGCTTGAACAGCAGAAATGTATTATCTCAGTGCTGAAGGCCGGACGTCCTAGATGCAGCAGATCTGCTTCCTTCTGTGACCCTGAGGGAGCATCTGTCCCAGGCTCTCTCCTTGGCGTGTGGATGCCATCTTCTCCCTGTGTCCTCGTGGCCTTCCCTCAGTGCGTGTCTCTGTGTCCCTGTTTATAAGGGCACCAGTCATACTGGGTTCGGGCCTGTCGTGAGGACCTCAGTTTTAACTTAGCCACCTCTGTGAAGACCCCCATCTCCAAGCACCGTCGCATTCTGCAGTGCTGGGAATCAGGACACCAACGTGTGAATTTTGAGGGGGACGATTCAGCCCAGATGGAGGCTGAAGTCTCTGGGTCCCTTGTCCCCCGCCCGGCACCTCTTATGCCCCACCTGCCGATAGAGGCGCTCAGGCAGGTGCACTCGGCCGCTGACGGCCCCGGGAGGCTGTGCGGGGCGTCCTGAGCCTGTGCCTGGTTTCAGGTACATCCACCCATGTGAGATCTGCGGGCGTATCTTCAACAGCATCGGAAACTTGGAGCGGCACAAACTTATCCACACAGGTAGCCGTGCCTGGGAGGACGCAGGGGCCCGGGCTGCTTTCTGCCCAGCGGTCATCTTGCCTCCCTGCCGACGCGTCTCTGTCCGTCTTTGCCACCGCTCCCCCCTCTGGGTCCCCGTGGAGACCGGGGAAGGTGGGCCTGGCGGGCACTGCTCCAGCTGCAGGCGGGGGGCCGCACTTCTCCCGTCACTGCCGTCACACGGTGACCGTGGGTGCGGATCTCCTGCTGTGAAAGTCTGACCTGTTTGTCTGTAGGTGTGAAAAGCCACGCCTGCGAGCAGTGTGGGAAGTCCTTTGCCAGGAAGGACATGCTGAAGGAGCACATGCGCGTGCACGACAACATCCGAGAGTACCTGTGTGCAGAGTGTGGGAAAGGTGAGGGCAGGTGGGGGGACCCGAGCTGTGTGCTCAGTGTGGGGGGGGAGGGGGAGGGAGGGGCGAAGGCAAGAGCGGGCGCACGGAGGTGGGGGGGACCTGGCCGTCAGGCAGGAGGGGCGGCCAGGCCACACGGACGGGGGGGGGCGCCCAGACCCGAGTCATTTACTCAAGAAAGGTAAGACCCGAAGAGGATCAGCGAGAAAAATAAAGCCGTCCAAAGGCAGGGAGATGGGGTGAAATCAAAGCACAAGCAAATCGTTTTAAAAGTAGGGAAACAGTGCAACACAGAATTCTGTGAAGTACAGAATAATCTGAGGGTCCTCATATGGCCTGAGTATAGGTGCAAAGTCCTCGACTGCCGGCTGGAACTACTAACTAGGACCAGCTGTGCAGTAACACAGTGAGTACTGTTGTCAGTGGTGACTGTGGCCTTTATGTGAGTCAGGTGGAATGAGTTAAATGCTAGCAAGTCCATGAATAAAACCTCACATCAGCAAGTAGAATGAGGAGAAAAAAGGCAATCGCAGTCCGTGGTAAAACTTTAACTCATTTCTGTTTGAAAACAAGCCAGAACGGTCAGGAAGACTTGGGGCAGCGGGTCTTTGGCGCTTTCAAGTGGCCGCCAGTGTTCTGTGTGGTGGAGAGCGGCAGTGCCACCCTCCTTCAGATATGGGACTGATCAAGTTCATCTGCCTTGCTGTGAGGGTCTTTTAAAAACTTTAATATTCCATCAAGTTTTTACTTTCTTCCTTTATGTGATTTTTAGGAAAGTACGAAGAAAACACAAATGCCCCGTAATTCCACTCACTGGATAAACCCCTGTTAGACTCGTAAAATAAGATTACACGCAGAAGGCTAAAAGAACTGCAGAGAAAAGCAGGAAGTGCACAGTCCCCCACCCCTGGCCCCCAGTCCCTCTCTGCACAGGTGACAGTGTCTTGTCTGTTCTCCAGAGTAACTGTGTGCAGCGTGTAGATTGTTTTATTGAAAAAGTAACCCAGGCACCTAACCAAAAAACAATTTTTTTACACAAATGGATATGCAAAGTAAAGTTATTCCCACCTCGGACCTCAGTCATACTCTTCAAAAGCAGCATTTGATCGTTGTGCACTGACATTTCTAGAAGTTTCCACGCATGTCAGCACTGGCCCTGCTGGCTGGAGCTCCAGCTGCAGCCCCCGTCTTTGCTGCAGCAGGTCCAGCCCCTTTCCCACAGAGCTAGAGCCAGTTAGAGGTGGGAAGGGTTGTAGGTAGACAGGTGTGGTGGGCCGTCCCCCCAGCTGGGCAGGGGGCAACCACACCTGAGACCTGAGTGCTGTTCAGTGAGCCCTGGCAGGTCAGGGAGGGGTGCCCAGGGTGGGCGCTGAGGTCAGTGGCACATCTTGTGTTATATACATTTTTATATCTGAAGTGTATTTGATGTTTAGTTTCATGATTTCTTTCATGACTTCTGAATATTAAATACAATGCAGGTGTTAACACTTGGGTTACCGTATTTATTTTCCATAATCCTAAACTATCAGTGGTCATTTTACTTCCATATCATGGTCACTGGCACATACAAGCGGATCCTTGTGCTTACCTGTTCTTTCCATACCTTACTTTTTATTTACTTCCATAGCCATCGTGGTGACCTTTTCGTATCAGGCAAATATTGCCCTAATTTTCCTCTCAAAACCTTGATAGGATTCCATCCTGTGGATTCCTACAACCAGACCCTTTAATTTATATCTTCAGGGGTTTTTGGTGTGCAGTCTTTTATCATTCCAGGTGATGTTGCAGGAAATGCCCTTGCTTATTATTATCAGTACTTTACATTTTCCCCCCAAATTCTGGACCTGACCGGGTCCTATTCAAATGGGAGGCTGTAGAAGTAATGAGAGCCCCGTCACCGGGCAGCAGAGACCCGTGTGCCATGCCTGGTGGGTTTCCACGTATAGCACTAGTAGCCGAGGATACACAGGAAGATTTGTTCAAAACACTTCACGCACCATGAGATGCTAAGGCCGCCCCCCAGGCGCCCTTTGCCCACAGACCCTGCATCCCCCTTCCTGTCCAGCGCTGCTCACCTGGTGGGTCTCCTGGCCTAAGACCCCCCACCACTGATTCAAACCCTAAACCAGGGTCTTTCCTTCTTCAGCGCCTGAGTTAGGGAGGTTTTAGCATATTTCGCTCCTTTCCGCAAGTGTTGACTTGGTTACATTAACCTGAAGGTAGATGGAAAGTCTGTGTTTGGACCTTTAAGTATCTAATCTTAATTAACACTTACATCACCAAGATCAACAGCGGACTTCAGGAGACTTGGAGCCGCCTACCAGATGAGTCAGTTGGGTCACAGTGGTTAGATTGGCACGGCTACCCGCAGCTCCTGTTGTTGGGAGCGCTGACCGTGCAGGCTGGGTGGGCGCCCGCTGAGACGGGCTGTCTGGAAGTGGCCTCCGAGGACACACGGCCCGCCTCACCGCTGGTGGAGGGGGCCCTCTTGGAGACGAGCCCCCGCGCCCTGTCCCTCTTCGCTCTCACCCCGACCTGTGTGTGCCGGGGCGAGGGGGCGGGGCGTGTGCGCCGCTGGGGTCCTTGGCAGGGCTGGGGCCCCCGAAGAGCCGCCGCCCTCCGTCCGCAGGCATGAAGACCAAGCACGCGCTGCGCCACCACATGAAACTGCACAAGGGCATCAAGGAGTACGAGTGCAGGGAGTGCCACCGCAAGTTCGCGCAGAAGGTCAACATGCTCAAGCACTACAAGCGGCACACGGGTGAGTCAGCCCCGGCCGCGGCGCCCTCGCGGAGGGACCAGGCCAGCGGTGCAGGTGCGGCTCGGGGAAGCGCCGCCGCTGCCGCCCCTCGCGGCCTTTAGCTCCCAGCAGGACCCGGGCTTCCTGACCGAGCTCTCGGAGGTGGGTCGCTTGGGTGGCCGGTGTCTCAGAAGCTCCCGGTCCCTGCAAGCGCCCTGCATCCTTGTGCGCCCTCACGAAGCTCGGGTTACCGCCCAGCTAGCTGTCCTCAACGCCTTCCCTTCCGCTCAGCCGTCGCCCTGCAGGAGCGTGTGAGGGAGAAACCATCAGACGAGGGCCCAGGGCGTGTGTACACGCCGGTCATTCTGTCATCTGGATGTGTCCATCAGTAGGGCAGTGGCTAAATTATGGTGTGTTCACCATGACGGACAGTGCACCCCTGCAAGTGATGGAATCGTACGTTAAGTTACACAGACATTCATGGTCCAGTGGGAGAGAAACCAGCCTCTACAACAAATGAGTTCATTGTTTTATAAAACATTTGTGTATGGATGAACGTGTGTGTATAAGAGGATTAAGATCGACAGCGGAGTGAGAGACAGTTATCCCTGGGTGATGGAGTTGTGTCTGAAGTTTCTGGTAGGAGCCTCTGGTTGGTTCCATGTTCTCCCTAAAATGCACCTGAGTCCTGCCACTGCCTGGCCCAGCTCACCTGTGCGCCCACCTCTCTCACTGCCCCCAAGGCTGTCCAGGCCACCACGCAGGTCTGCTTTGGGTCCCCCTGGAGTGCCAGCCCCCAGGGCACTGGGCTTTCACGAAAGTGTGCTGCCCTTCTCTTCCTGGGGAAGCTCATCCGTTTCACTTCCCCTTTTCTGGGAAGCGTTCACCCCCTGGGACTGGGTCCTGCACCACCTCTCGGGTCTCACAACACTGCACCTGCTGGGCTGTAGTGGCCCCTGGCCTCCAAAAGCCGCAGTGAGCGTACGAGGGGTTCGCCAAATACAGGGCCAAGATAAGTCCAAGATGAGTGGACCCTGAAAATCACTTACCTAGTTTTCCATTTGGGGGAAAACCTTTATTTAAAAGGCATTCTAAGGATCCACTTTCTTGTCAGTTTGGGGAGAGAAACAGTGCAATGCCCTGATGCTTCCTTGCCGGGTTGCAGGCAGGCAAGGTGGTCACCCCAGACCGAGTGACTGATCTGAACACTCAGGACTGGAGTGAAGCGGGTGGAAGCCTTAAACGTGTCATAAACGTGGCCCTGCCTTCCCTGGTCGCGAGCTGTGCAGAGTAAGCTCATTGAATCGAATGCTGCTGAGACTCTGTGGCAGTCTGTGGGCCTCGGGCTGAAACTGTCCTTGTCACCCCTTCTGCGGAAGGAGCTCGCCTGGGTGCCAGCCATAGGGTAGCTTTCGAGCCACAGTGTGCCGGTCGCGTGTGGGGATGGACACTTACTGCCTGCTGTCTCCTGGTAATTTACGTCCCGTGCAGCTTCTGCAAATACAGGAATGTGTCAAGGACGAGACAGCTTCTGTGTGTAGTTAAACACTCACGAAACGTGAAAGTAAGTGTGCCTTTTTCTGCAGGGATTAAAGATTTCATGTGCGAACTGTGCGGAAAAACTTTCAGCGAGAGAAACACGATGGAGACGCACAAGCTCATCCACACGGGTAAGCGGGGCACCTGGGGACCGGCCGGCCGCCCGCCCGCCGCGGCCTCCGCTGAGGCCATCGGAGCGTGCGCGGTGGGGACGGCATGGCTGTGATGCTGTTGGTAGGCCTTTTCAGATGTTTTGGTGCTGTTCTGCCTTAACGATGGCCCCTTGCCCCCAAAACCTCAGCCCATCAAAATTTTCGGACGTTGTCCGAAACTTGAATTTTCGGACATTGGAGTAGCGACTGGGCTCCAGGAGGGGAGGGGGCCGCGCTGCCTGTCCCGCGGCCTGACCACCGGGCGGGTGACCCGGCGGCTGAGCCCGCTCACGACCCGTGCTTCCTCTTCTGCCCCGTGCGTGTGGGAAGTGGGCAAGCAGTGGACGTGCTCCGTGTGCGACAAGAAGTACGTCACCGAGTACATGCTGCAAAAGCACGTGCAGCTCACCCACGACAAGGTGGAGGCCCAGAGCTGCCAGCTGTGCGGGACCAAGGTGTCCACCAGGGCTTCCATGAGCAGACACATGCGGCGCAAGCACCCCGAGGTGAGCCTGGGCGGGCGCCCCTCTGCCTGCCTCCCCCCGCCTCCCCGCGCGGACCCGGCCCCTGCCCAGAGACCCCGCCGCGCTGGCTCACCATCCCTGCCCCCGCGCAGGCCCGTGGTTCCTCCAGGTGGGGCCTGGGCCTGGCAACTCCCCTCCACCTGCGCGCCGACGGCGCTGAACGAGTGAGTGGACAGAAGAGCCTGGCACGTGTTTTCTGCTGAGGTTATAAATTACATTCTCGCTGGAATTACAGCGAGACGGGAGTACGACCCTGACCCCTCCCCCTTTCCTCCCTTTGGGCAACTAAAAAAGATTCAGGACGGGAGCCTCCGTGTGGTGTTAGGGGCTGATTAGAAGGTGGCCCTGGGGACCGAGGGGGAGAAGCTGTATTGAGGCAGATAGACCCTGGCTCACCCGTGGGCTGGTTCTAAAGGCAGGTCCAGCGCACTGAAGAATTCAGTGCTTTTTACAAAGAAGTAAACTGAAAAACAAAGCTAGAAGAAAGTACGGGAAAATAGCTATATCACTGAAAGGTGGAAACTTTCTAAGCGCAAAAGCGGTGAGAGGAGTCTCGAACAAACGATTCGACTAAGCGGCATAACATTTAGAACTTCTGTAGGTCAAAGGGAAAACGGAAAAAATGTGCTAAGATATTACTACCGTTAACAGATAGAAACTGTTAACATTAAAGGTAATATGCATTCCATGAGTAGAACACGGAGAACCCAGCGTGTCCACGGAGATTCATGAAAGCGAACACCTGTGGTTAAGACACAGGAGAAAGCCTTTAACAGTAGAGGTGCCATCCTTCCTCCGTTAAATTAGAGGAGGTTCTTAGATTCAAAATGCCTGTGCGGCGGGCGTGAGCCGGGCGCCCGGCTGTGCCGTGTCCTCCTGGGGGGGCAGCGTGACCATCCCTCCCTTTATAAGTGACTACTTGGACCCCTCAGTGTCCAGCAAGAGGAATGTGATTAAGTTAGTGGTAGTTTAGTGGTGTACCTGAATGTAACGTGTTTGCAGAGAACCCTGAGTGAAAGCGCGAGTGTTTGCTGTAAGAAAGCCGTGCACACCGTGCGCGTACCGCGTGTGTATACACTATGTCATTCGCGTTGTGTGTGTATGGCATACTCACGTATGTGATATAAATGGGGTGGGCGAAACGAGAAAGGACGAAAACATTACACGGTGGTCTTCTCCTGGCGTTGAAGTTTTGGTTATTTCCTCTCTTGTTCTCCATTTTAAATAATTTCCTCCAGTGAACATGGGTTACTTTCGCAATTATAAAAGCACCCTCTGCCTCATTTGGATGGTAGGTGCGTCTTTTTCTGCGTCACCTTGACCCTGAGCTCTGGGGACCCCGAGGAGCTGGGGCTCCGCCAGCTTCGCTCTCCTCGCTCTTGGGCTTTTCCACCTAGTGGCCAGCTAGCGTTTCCACCTAGAAAAACAAAGTTGGGAGAGCAGGAGCCCGAAGTGTCAGCATCCACCCGCTGCCCAGTGTCGGCAGACAGCGCCCTCCAGGTCTCGGGGCCCAGGGCCGGCGCTGCAGGCTCCCCCGGGGGCTCGTGACGTGTGGGAGTGATTTCTTGGTGACGTGTGGGTGTTTGTAGCTACGCGTGCTAACAGCGCGCATGGCAGTTTTTGCAGACGGGTCGTGTGATGCACGTTGCTGGGCGCGGGAGGCCTTGCGGGCGCGGAGCAGCTCGGCAGACGCTTCCGTCTGGTTGACGGTCACTTCCTAGCCCGCCCCTCTGTGCGGCCACCTCTTTGCACCTCCTCCTCTCACGCCCACCATGCGGGTGGCACAGCGCTCTGGAGGGGACACCAGCAGACGGAGGGCTCCCCTTTCGGGGCTCTGTTCTCAGTCCCTTTTGTCTCTGAAGCCTTCAGCCTCTTCCCCCGTTGATCATCTGACGTTTCTCTGTCATTTCCTTCTGTGTTGCTCAAACAGATACAGTTAAGTGCCTGTGGGGATGAGCGCTGGTGACCAGCCGGACAGGGTGCGCCCCGTCCTCCTGGACCGACCGTCTAGGGTGGGAGACGGGGGGTGGGTAGGACGCAGACAAGTCAGACAGGAAGAGATGGAGTGAGGCCGAGGGAGGGCTCTGCTGCTGTGTGGGTGCCACCCTGGGGCCCGGCTGTGCAGGGGTGCGGGGCAGGGGGCCACGCAGTGCTGGGCACAGACTCGGGGGCAGGGGTCCCGTGGAGGCCGGCTAAGGTGTTAAGCGTAAACTGCTTTCACACATTGGAGACCTTTCAGAATTGATGCGATTTTATTACTTCAAGGTATGGTCTTTCCCTCTTCTTTGAGTGAACGTTGCATTCAAACAAATTCAAACACACGAAGTCCTTTGCATGCGTGGTCTTCTCTCCGAGTAAGAGCGAAGCCAGCGGATGCTTCTGTGGTTGTTCTTCGTGGCACGAGCTTCCAGACCGCGTGACTAGGACACTGATGACGTCGTCGTTGACGATGATGGAGGTGGGGGTGACAGTGACAGTGGTGACAGCGGTGGAGGTGCTGATGGTGAGGGTGGGAGAGGACGGTGGCATCTGGCTGCTGTGACTAAGCTTTGCAGCATCACAGTCACACTTGGGTCCTCGGCGCCACGTCAGCATTTACGTTGCAACACACATGACCACGACCTCCTTGCTGGCCGTCCTTTCAGAGAACGCCCAGCCCTGGTCTTGGAACCTAAGTCCGGAAATGCAGCTCCCCGTCATTCTGCTTAAATGAGCCACACCCGCTACGTATAGCCTATAATTTTGTTCTTAATTTTTTTTGACAAAGAATGTAGAGATGCTTGCAGAGCCATTTGGCTGAAGAGCCCGTGCAGATACTTTCCTGGTCTCCCTGCTCTCGTATAGTCTTTGCACAGCACTTCCCTTCTTCAGCAACTCCCCGTTTCCACACCTCCCTCCCAGGGATTCCGTTCTCTCTGCGCTCAGGGTCCGTCGCCCCACCTGTGATTTGTTCACTTAAGTGATCCCAGTCACGGTACAGCCGGCGTCAGCAGGTGTGTGTGTGGGTCAGGTTCAGAGAAGACCGGGTGGACCCCGGGCGTGTGTCGTGGCGTAAGGGTCTGCGTGCTAGGGACCGGCCGGTGCGGCTCACAGGTGCACTTCATCAGAAATGACCAATGAAACTACCCGGACTTCTCTACTTTTCAGGTAGAAAAGTCACGTGTGTACAGTGTAAATGTCTCATTCTCGAAGGTTCCTTGTAGGACAGTTTTCCTGTATCTTATCCCGCTCCGCTCTCGGTTTGAAAGAACAAGATTGAGTGAGAATGCACTATGCATTATGCACTGTGCACGTTAGTGTTTTCACTAAACTAAAAGGGAAGGAATAGTCTCCACCCTCGAGCGGTGGACAGTGCGGTGACACACGGACAGGGGCGAGGTAACACCCCCGTGTGTGAGAGCACAGCAGAAACTTGAAGAGAGGGGGCCTGGGAGGAGGGAAGGAGAGCCCGGACGGGACTGTGGAATCCAGGTTTTCAAGTCCTGAGCAGGGCCCGTGAGGGCGTGGGCGCCTTTGAGGGTGACGGCCTGTCGGCGCGTTTCTGGGTCCCGCCTGACCTGAGCCTGGGCCTTCGGGCGTGGTGTCCCGGGCTCACCGCCCTGTGGTCACTCCTAGGTCCTGGCCGTGAGGATCGACGACCTGGACCACCTCCCCGAGACCACCACCATCGACGCCTCCTCCATCGGTATCGTCCAGGTGAGCCCTGCGCACGCGGGGCCCGGGACGTCTCACCCGAGGGGCCCCGGCAGGTGTCCTGAGTAGCCTTTGGGAAAAAACCCCACGTTTCACGCTCGTTTGCCTCTGTTTTATTGGTTGGTCGTCACCCCAGGAGCCTTTTACTTTCTGTAAAAGTTTCTAGAATTTCAGTTTTCTGAATCCTGACATATCTCCTTTTAGAGAATAGATGGTTTCTTAAGTCACAGCTCCCCAGAGAAAACAGTCAATAGAGAGCGCGTGTACACGTGCGTACGTGTGTGTACAGAGAAAATTAGATTTATTTTAAGGACTTGGTGCCCACGAGTGTGGAGCTGGCAAGTCCAGAGCTTTCAGGACGGGCCGGAGGCTGGAGACCCAGGAGGAGTTGATGCTGTGCCCGAGGTCCATCTGGAGACGGAGTTCCCTCTTCCTCTGGGAGCTTCAGGCTTTTCTCTCGAGGCCTCCGCCCGATGGGACGAGGCCCACCCGCATTGCAGAGGGTGCTCTGCATGACTCAGTACCCACCGATTTCAGTGTTAATCACATCTGAAAGATACCTTCACGGCAGCCTCTAGACTGGTGTTCAGCCACCCAGCCGGGCGCCCGAGCCCAGCCACGTTGACACTTAACCTTAAGCATCACAGGTGGTTTCCAGAAAAGCTTATTAGCACGATTAGATTATTAGAAGCAAAATAACTTTCAACGTATTAGGTGAACTTACTTTTAAAAGGAATTTTTAGTCAGTACCTTTATATAAAGAGCTTCTCTTATTTTATTTTCTTTTATTTTTTTGCGGTACACGGGCCTCTTACTGTTGTGGCCTCTCCCGTTGCGGAGCACAGGCTCTGGACGCACAGGCTCAGCGGCCATGGCTCACGGGCCCAGCCGCTCCGCGGCATGTGGGATCTTCCCGGACCGGGGCACGAACCCGTGTCCCCTGCATCGGCAGGCGGACTCTGAACCACTGCGCCACCAGGGAAGCCCAGCTTCTCTTCTTTTAAAGGAAACGTGTCATGCTCTCGGTTATTTTAAAATCACGTTTCTACCTCTGTGTCTTGCAACGGAGCTTTGGGCGCGGCGCTCAGCGGCCGGGTTGTACTGAGCCGCCGTGCCCCACGCCTCAGCAGCCCCGGAGGGCCAGGACCACGCCCACCCCTGGCCAGGGCAACCCCTCCTCAGGGTCTGCCTGCTGCTGGGTGGGAGCAAGTCTCATGGATGGCACCAAGGACCAGGAGGGAGGAGAGCCTTGCTGGCCACCATGGCTCAGCGGCCTCTGTGATGCTGGGCCAGCCCAGCTGTAGGTCGGAAAACAGGCCACACTTAGCAGCTCAAGAAGACGTGTGCAGGGCACCCGTCTGGGGTCGCCATTACCGCCGGGCCCTGTTTGCTGTCCCCAGAAAAGGTGACCGTACAGTTCTTGCGGTCAGCCTCATTTTGATCCAAGATTGTGTCTGCAGTGAATTTGTTTCAGCCAGGGGATGAGAGTCCTGATGTGAAAGCATTTTTCAGTCTCAGACTGAGCTCAACAGGGCTGAAACAGTGGCTCAAAAAATCTGCTTTTAGAGATGTTTCTATTTCAGCAAAAAATGTGGCTTTTAAAAATATGACTGGTATCTAAAATCCTTCACCTGAAAGAAAAGCAACTGAAACCAACAGGAACTTGCCCCCGTCCTTAGAAGTGCAAGTTAGCAGACAAGCCTGGTCACCTGGTGTCCAGGAACAGGGCTGGGCCACGCTGGCCGCTTCGGGGACACGGCCCGTTGACCCGCCGTTGTCGCGCCTTCTCTTCCTGCAGCCTGAGCTGAGCCTGGGGCAGGAGGATCTGGCGGAAGGGAAGCACGTGAAAGCCGCCAGGAGGACTCACAAGAGGAAGCAGAAGCCAGAGGACGAGGCCGGGGCCGCGGGGCCCGAGGAGGCCACCTTCAGCGAGTTCTCGGAGAAGGAAGCCACGTTCTCGGGCGGCGTCGGGGACGAGACCAGCTCCGCCGTGCAGAGCATCCAGCAGGTCGCCACTCCCCGTGCAGGGCTGGGGGCCCCGGGCGCGGGGGGCCTGGGCTCTGGCCGTGGCCAGCACGTGCCCCGTTTCCCAGCTTAGACCCAGAAGTCACCGCCATCCTCCCGGGTTGGGAACGGGTCTGCGTCTAGTTTGGGGAGGTTCTCAATGGCCTGAGCGTGCCGGCCAGTCAGGCAGGGCCCGACTCTGCATGCCAGGGCGTGTGGCCAGCCAGCCTGCTGCTTTTAACCAAGGCTTCCCCGCTGGGGTTTCGAGGCCCCCAGCTCCTGGCCGGCGTGTGTCGGACGCCACACCCCTCCCCTGACTGGCCCTGGTCATCCTGGTCGCAGACGTTCCTGCGTTTCGGCCCTGTCTGTGGGGAAGAGCATGGCTTGCTTTTTCATTTATTAGCTCTGGCACTGCACATTGGTTCACTGCCCTTCTGACCTTTACAATTGGGATTTCCATTTACCATCATCACTTCACAGAAGTTAAGAGACAGTGAAGAATGAGCTCTTTTTCTCATTACTTTCTTCTGTTTTTTTTCCTAGCTACGGAAACCCTTTGCTTTTCAGTTCCAGCTGATGGCCTCCATGACGGTGTCTGTATCTTGTTTCTCTCTTTCACTAGAATTCTTTTTCCAGGAAAAATGAACTTGGTTTAACCTCTCAGCAGCAGGTGTATTTAACTCCTCGCTTTGGGCCAGGAGTGTGATGGTTCCAGCGTCACGAGATGGCCTCCGTGACAAAGTATAGCACAGGAAGCTGCTCGTGTTCTCGATTCTGCAGGAACTAACGGTCCCGTGTTGTGCGTGACTCTTCCAGGTGGTGGTGACGCTGGGCGACCCCAATGTGACCACCCCGTCGAGCTCCGTCGGCCTGACCAACATCACCGTGACCCCCATCACCACCGCGGCCGGGACTCAGTTTACCAACCTCCAGCCGGTGGCCGTCGGGCACCTGACCACCCCGGAGCGCCAGCTGCAGCTGGACAACTCCATCCTGACCGTGACCTTTGACACCGTCAGCGGCTCTGCCATGCTGCACAACCGCCAGAACGACCTCCAGATCCACCCCCAGCCGGAAGCCTCGAATCCGCAGTCGGTGGCCCACTTCATCAACCTGACCACCCTGGTCAACTCCATCACGCCCCTGGGGAGCCAGCTTGGCGAGCAGCCGCCGCTCACCTGGCGGGCGGTGCCCCAGACAGACGTGCTGCCGGCCCCGGCCCCGGCCCCGCAGGCCGCCCAGCCCCCGGTGCCGGCCGAGCAGCAGCCGCAGATGTACGGCTACTGAGTCACCCTGCAGGGACCTGGGGGAGAACCACGGACAGGCGGTCTGCTTCTGTTTTTATTTGAGATTTGTTTGCTGGATACCAAACAAAAGAACAAAACACCGCACGTTGCAGTATCAGGAAGGTTGACGTAGCTTTTGCAGCGTTATCTCCAAATTCACCAACAACCATCACAGTGTGTCAGCTGAGCTCAGAAGTGACCCTGAGCAGGTCCCCCTGAGGCCCCATATGCTCTGCCCCGGCAAGGCCAGGCCCCCAGGCTTCCCTCCCAGAACGCGGGTGGGCGCAGGGTTTGGGAAAAGGAAACCCAGAGAGGAGCAGCACGGTAAGACCCGTATGTCACTAGAGATGTAAGTGGCGTGTTTCATTTCTCCCTTTAGGGCTCCGCTACTGTGTGACAATGTAGCCGGTTTTCTCCTGTGGCTCCTGCACTTTTTTGCTAATGAGCAGATAGGAGTTCAAGTAACGTTTACTCTCTTTGAAATTTGAGTTGAGTCGAATTCGTTCTGCACCTTTGGGCTGAAACCATGTGGGAAGATGCCCTGTGGGAGCGGACGCCCCTCCTCTGGCCTTCACGAGTTCCTCTCGGGCAAGGGGTCACGTGAGGTTGCCGACCAAGGCACCTTAGTGATAGAATTCGTGAATCGATTTGCAGTATGGCTCTTTCCTTTTTTTTTTTTTTTTTTAAACTTCACCTCGAGCATACCTTGTGTGATCGAGACTGCGGAGGCCACGTCATCCTCTATTTTCCTCTAACACACAGAAGTCGTTTGCACTGTGGGACTGTGGGTCCACGTCCAGCTCTACGCGGCTGCCCCGATGCAGGGGCCGTGAGCCTCATGCTGGCCCCCCTGGAGGCTCCTCGGGGTTGTGTCTCAGGATTCTCTGCCATCCAAATGTATTTATTATGGCTGAGGCGCAGCCAGAATCCCCCGCACTAGAGAACAGGGGAGAAAGTCATGTCTTTTTTCTGTTTAAACTTCAAGTCCAAAGGTTGGTGTGTTTCAAGACCAGTTTTCTAAAAAAATGTTGAATGAGCTTGGCTCTTTCCCCAAGAAAGGTATAGGTTTTTCTGAAATATGAAGACAGTGCTATTTCCTGCCAAGTAGTATGAAAGCAGAAAGGCTATTAGCTGAGCAGTAGAAGCGTCAGTGCCCCTAATGAATGAGTGAATAAATGTGCTGAGCGACGGGAGCTCTGCCCCTCCGGGGGACGCGCTTTCACACGTGTGCGCCCGTTTCAGAAGTGGCAGGTGAGGCTCTGGACCACCAAGGTGGCAGCCAGCAGCTAGCCCTCCCACGGCGCAGACAGGGAAACAAAGAGGCGGGCAAAGAGGCTTGATTTCTACGCTCCTGATGCTTTAACGCTGTCCAGAATGAAATGATACGTTTGTTTGCCTTACTTTGTCCTGATCAGTATTTGTCCCCGATCCTGCATTGTTTGGGAGACCGTCAGTAGTGGATAAATGAGGCAGAATAACCTGACGCCGCTAATGAGGCTACAGACAACCTGTTACGCAAAATGCAACGTTCTCAGCACTTCGCTTCATTCCAAATCGCAAGATTTTGAGGAGGGGGCTAGGCTTTGATTTGTGCAATACATGCTTTCGTGAACTAAGTTCATCACCCACGCAGCATGTGAAAGGGGCTTCAGGATTCGCCCTCCACACCCAGCTCACCGGTAACTCCCGACGACTCGCACCTCTGAATCGGTAGTGGGGGGTTGTTTGACTTTTAATTTATGATAATTATTTTTATGTTATTTATGTATATAATTAACTGCTTTATACATAATAGTTTCATCAAATGAACTTGGGCTGGGGGTGATATACTTTCTAAGTATCGTCTCTGTTCTCCAAATGTAAGTGGTCCAGGTATCCGTGGAATCATCAAAAGCGCCGAGGTTCCTAAGGTATTTTCTTAAAAATCGCTGACCGTCCTTTGGCATTTGCAGAATGTAAGGGATGAATGACCAAGTAAAAAATCCAAACATGATTGAACACCCGCTAGCATTTATCTTTTATTCCTCTCCCCTATGAAACAAAGGCCTTTTAAATCACAATTTTATTTTTTTAAGAGAAGTTGTTTTTACGCCTAGAGTAAGAACGCATCAGATGTCTTTAAAGAGCCTGGTTTAGGTTGTGTGGCCCCAGCGTACCTCCCGCCGCGTATTTAACTACACAGATGCTTAACCATACTTCCTGGTTTAATAAGTGAGAACTCCAAATAAAAATCAAATTGACTCCTGAGTTTTCTGTAGAAGTATTTGGTCTAATAGGGTCACTGTCTGAGGCAAAATAGGTTCGTGTTGTCTTAAAACGGTTGCTATGAATTTGCATATAAGACACTGGGAAGCAAAAAAATAAAAAATAAAAAGCACTACTCAGCCAAAAGAGTTACCAGCTGTAGGCTGCTCTGCACCTCTGTCGCTGTTTCCTGATGGAAAAGATTTACTTTTCTTTAACTGATCCCAGTGCACAGCTGTATCCATAGGAGGAAATTGGATGGAGCCGTTGTGACCACTGAGCTCTGTGAATCCCTCGGGGTTATTCTAAATTAATAAACAGAAGATGCTTGGTTTTGGCCGGTGAATTTGTGAAGTTGTGTCGTTCTGTGCCACCTGACGGTGTGAGCCTTGCAGAGCAGGCCCCCGGGATTGCGTGTCCCTGAGGCAAGGAGGGGACGGGGGCCCCGAGTGGGATGTGTTCCTCGTGCCGGGTGCCGCTCCACTGTGACCGACAGGGACCTGCCTTGGAGGATTCGGGGCCCGGGAGGCAGATGCACGGACTTCACAGTCACAGCGGCCAGAGCTCGAGGCTCCCAGCTCAGGGCCGTGTCAGTGACTTTCCCGTTGGATTTTGAGAGGCATCAAGGCTGAGAGGTCACGTGTATTTCGTGTCCCGCTAGTTTGTATAACAACAAATAAAAGTTGCCTTGAGCTGTGCTTTTCCGTTGCTGGCCCTCTGCTCAGACTGCCCGTTCCAAGTAGTGGACACACTTGGTATATTTTGAGAACGGTTGTAATTCCCGTGTAGTTCAGACCCTGTGAAATGTTTGGATTATTTTAAATGACCCAAACATTGAAAATAAACAGGATACTGAGATATCAGAAGCTTTCACAAGGGTTTGTTTGTTTGTTTAAAAGCAACAAAGCAGGACTTCCCTGGTGGCGCAGTGGTTGAGAGTCCGCCTGCCGATGCAGGGGACACGGGTTCGTGCCCCGGTCCGGGAAGATCCCACATGCCGCGGAGCGGCTGGGCCCGTGAGTCATGGCCGCTGAGCCTGCGCGTCCGAAGCCTGTGCTCCGCAACGCGAGAGGCCACGGCAGTGACAGGCCCGCGTACCGCCAAAAAAAAAAAAGCAACAAAGCAGTGGTTGTAGCGTTTTTTTGTAAAGCTTAGATGGAGAGAACAGACACATAAAAGATGAGCAGCCAGAGAGAGGGGAGAACTTAGTAAGCAAGGCGTTCCTTAGGGCACGTGGTCTGGAAGAATCCCTCATTTTATTGATCAAATAATGATATGTTCCGATTGGTTAGGAAGAGTCATCTTAAAGTTATGAAACACCTGGAGTGTCATCCGATCTTCTAAGGGTTTGAATTATGAGAACCTTGTTTTAGGTACTTCAGTTGTATCTTAGAGAACAGCTGGTAGCAGCTAATTCTTCTGCCAGTGAATAGGGTTCACCCCCTCAACGTCCAACCAATTGTGAGCATGTTCTTGTATGTGCAGCAAATTCCAATAGAAAGGGGGAGACCGCTGGGCCACTGGCTGCTTCCCCTTGTGGGTGTTTGCACCTGGCTTGAGCGCCCCCACATTAGGAGGTCCTAGTCCTGGAATGACAGCCAATGATCTGACCTGCGTGTGCTGCAGGCAGCAGAATTACCTGGGTGACCCGCACAACGAGCTGGCTGGGACCACCCCTCCCCCCCCGAGCCCTGGTACCCATGGACCTGAGGCTTCTCCTCCCTGAGCCGGGACGTGTGGCTCCCCGGGGTCCTACAGTCCCAGGTGCAGGCTGCTGGCATCCAGACAACACTTGAGGGCAGGCGCCCCACATCCAGACTGCCTTGGCACCAAGCCTCCAGCTCTTCCTCGATGACCGGTCTGTCTGCCAACATTTGCTCCATAAGGAGGGAGACGGACCCCCCTCTCCATGGGAAGGTGTCCCTTCAATGGGACACAGACCCACCCTGAGTGTTTGCAGAGAGCCCGGCCCAGCATACTTCCCGGGGAGAGTGAGGGTGCAGGACCCGGGGCTTGGGGCCCGCTGTTTACTGTCTGTTCCACTTGGGCCTTTCAGCTCCTCCTGGGCGCAGTGCATCACCCCCTCGCGTGACCATCTGCAGCTTGCCCTCAACCCCAGGAATTCTCTCTTCCTAGTTTTAGCCACAAAACAGGGTAGCAAGGTCACAAAGGAAAGAGAAGGCATGGCCGCAGTGTTGCGGGAAATGCTCTAGAAATCCAAAAGCTGCCCTGCCGGAGTCTCCAGAATGATCCGGGGCTGGGGGTGAGGGTGCTGCCGTCAGGAGCGGCCGCCGTTTCGTCTGTGCGTTGCCATCCTCTGTTCCGGGAAAGCACACAGACTCATCACCTGGATGTCGCCAAGGACCATCAAGCTCGCACGTCTGACCCCGGAGTTCATGACCCCCGGCCCCAAACCTGGCGCTCCCTGACTGTCCCACTCACGGCCCACAGCCCTGCCCTCCACCTAGTCGCACGGGTGGGAGCCCAGAGCCATCCCACGCTTACACCCCCTGTGCCTTTGGGTCTGTCCGGGTGTCACCATCCCCATGACCACCTTCCCAGCTGACAGCCCCTAAGGGGCCACCCGGCCCCCGCTCGTCCCCAGGAGTCTGTCCTCCACACGGTGGCCTCGTTGGCCCTTGTAAAGGTGTCATTCCATGTGTCACCCACGCACCAAGGTCAGCGTCCTCCAGCAGATCCTAAGTGCTCCCTGGACACGCCGATCCTTTCTGCGGCCTCGAGCCTGCAGGAGCTGCC